TTTGAACTCAGGGCCTCATGCTTACTAGGCAGGCATTCCACGGCTTAAGCTGCTCCACCAGCCCTTGAGTTGGGTATTTTCAAGATAAAGTTTCTCAAACTATTTGCCAGGGCTGGGCTCAAACTGCGATCCTGATCTCTGCCTCCTGGTTAGCTAGGATTATAGGTGTGAACCACTGTTGCCTGGCTACTGTGTTTTTAATGTATATGTGAAGTTACCAAATCTCCTTACCCCAAATTGGGGTGTGTCGTTTGATCAAAGGAAGACTTCTACAATCTGGGAAATGTCATTTAAACTACAAACCTTTGGAATTTCTTGGCTTGTGAGAAGAGAGAATGAAATGGGAAATTATTAAAAGCCTCAGCATTTTGGGTTGGTCTCTGTCTCCCCAGAAAACTTGAACCCAGAAAGTAGGTTTTGCCTCCTGTTTCTTTGCATTTACAGCCACTAGTACACCATTCTGCCAGAGTAAGAGTACCACTGTTCTGTGGCACTGGGGTTTAAACTCAGGGCCTTTGCTACACACTCAACAACTTGAGCCAGACCCCCCAGCCCTTTTTGCTTCAGTTATTTTTCAGATAGGTTCTTGTGCTTTTGCCCAGCTTGGACCTCTGACTGTGATCCTCCTACTTTTGCCTGCTGAGTAACCAGGATTACAGATGTGTATTACCAAGTCTAGCTTGTTTTTTTAAGATAGGGTTTCACTAACTTTTTGCTTGGACTGGCCTTGAACTGCAGTCTCCTATCTTTACTTCCCAAGTAGCTCAGATTACAGGCCTTAGCCATCCCACCTGGCCCTTTGATTATTCTTCTTCCCTTTTCTTCCTTCCCTCTTCCTCCTTCCTTCCTTTCTTCTTTTTCCTTCTTCTTTTTGGTACTCAGGTCCTTATGCTTGCTAGGCAGGTGCTTACCACTTGAAGCACACCGCAGCTGTTTTTGCTTTGGTTCTTTTTTGAGATGGAATCTCATTCTTCCTTGGGTCTGCCTGGACCAAGATCCTCCTACTTAGGATTCCTTTATAGCTGAGATGACAGGTGTATTCCGCCATGCCCATGTTTTTTATTTTGTTGTTGTTGAGATAGGGTCTTCTTTACTTTTTACCAGGGCTAGCCTTGAACTCTGATCCTCCCAGTCTCTGCCTCCTTGGTGGCTAGCTGGGATTACAGGTGTGAGTCACCATGCCTGCTGATACTGTTCTTAAAAAAATCACACCTTCATGTGATTATTTTGCCATTTCTACTCCTTTTAGCCCATCTGTTGGGGATGTTTCCAATGCTAACCTAGTTATTAGATCTGATACTGCTTAGAAGTGGGTGAAGAAGCTGTAAGGAAATACGCTGTACTTTTATTACTCCTGCCCATTCAGCTTTTAGAAGATGGCTCATCAAACACTCTCATGTGTTTATTCCCTGCTTCCACACCTTTGCTCAGCTGTCCCTTTGTGTGGAGGACTGTCATCCCTTTAAGGTCTGTTTAGTAGTTTTCAACTGGGGGTGATTTTTTTCCCTGAGAGAACATTTGGTGATGTATGGAGTCAGCTTTGCTTGCTACAATTGGGGAGAAGGTGTGCTAAGGGTATCTAGTTAGTAAAAGCCAGGATTGCTGCTGAATATCCTATACCAGACAGCCTTTCCCAACAAGCAGTTATTCGACCCCAAAGGTCACGGTTCCTAATGAGGGACCCTAATGTAACTCCAGCCTTTGCTTTTTAAGAGCTTCTTTACAGTGTCCCCCGTCTCCCCCACCATTCCAGACCTTCAGGACACCCAAGTACCATGCAGCACTAGGCAGCAGAACATAATGGCAAGACCATAAGCTTCCTAGTCCTGTCACTTGCTGACTGAGACCTTGGGCAAATGACTCACGTTCTTAGCACCCCTCTTTCCTCAGCTATCAAGTGGGGATAATAATTGTAACTACCTCATGTGGTTGTTGTGAGGATCAAATGAAAGAATATGGGATAAGCGCTTAACCAGTATGTGGCCTATCCTAAGTGCTCAAAAAGTGTTAGCTACAGTAACAACAATGATAATTTTTTTTGAGACAGGACTTTGGTATGTTGCCCAAAATGATCTTGAACCTGTGAGTTCAAGTGATCCTCCTTTCTCCTCCCAAATAGCTGGTACTATGTGTGTGTGCCACCACACCTAGCATAATGATAATTTTATTGTTGTCATCGAACTTGGAGGCCTCCCCTAGTGAGCCAGCTTGCAGATATGTTTTTGTTTAGACAGTCTAAGATTTTTTTGTTTTTTAATTGAGATGTAATTCACACACCATAAAACACACAATTTTAAAGTATACAATTCAGTGGCTTTTAGTATATTCTCTAGGTTGCAACCAACAAGAAGATTTTCATTTTCTCAAGAAGAATTACCATACCCCTTAAAAGATACTCTTTCTTCCAACTCACCTAGCCCCTGGCAACCATGAATCTGCTTTCTATCCCTGTGAATTTGCCTGTTTCAGACATTTCACATAGTCATACATTATAAGATCCTTTGTAACTGGCTCTCAGCATGTTATCAAGGTTGTAGCATGTATCAGAATTTCATTTTTATTGACAAATGGTATTGTATTGTGTAGCTAGACAACATTTTGTGGGTCCACTCACCAGCTGATGGACTTTTATGTTGCCTCCATGGTTTTTTTTGTGAACTTAGGTTTTTCATTTTTCTTTGGTGTATACCAAGGAGTTGAATTTTTGTGTCATATGGTAGCTCTATGTTTAACTTTTTGAGAGACCGCCAAATTGTTTTCCACAGTGACTGCACCATTTTACATTGGCACCCTCATACATTTACCAGGATTGTGTGAGGGTGCCAGTTTCTCAACATCCCTAGCCAACACTTGTTATTTTTTATTTCCCCCTCCTTCTTTAATTATAGCCTCCTTCGTGGGTGTGAAGTGACATCTCATTGTGGTGGTTTATTTATTTTTTTGGTGATGGGAATTGAACTAGGGCCTTGTGCTTTACCTGCTTAGTATAGCATTCACCACTGAGACACATACATGCATGCACACGCACTCACACACACCACTCTCATTATGGTTCTGATTTTGTTTTGCTTTATTTTATTGTTTTCTGAGATGGGGTCTTTTTTTCTTTTTTAGAAATTTATTCAGTTTCCATCAGTACCCTTTAATGAGGTGTTAGGATTTTCTTATTTTTGTAATTTTATCATTTTTACATTTACTTACATGTGTATATGTTATTTGGGCCACCCCCCACCCCCCCCGTGCCATGGGGTCTTATGTGTTGCCCAGATTAGTAGCAAACTCCTGGGTTCCAGCAACCCTTCTGCCTTAGCCTTCTAGTAGCTGGAACCACAGGCTGGCACCACTGTATCCAACCATGTGGTCTTGATCTTCATTTCCATGATTATTAATGATGGACAACCTATCATGAGCTTATTGGCTACGTTTATATCCTCTTTGATGAAATGTTTATTGTAATCTTGGCCCATTTTTATATTGGGTTATTTGTTTTTTGATTGTTAAATTATTATAAGTTTGGGGTTTTTTTTTTTTTTTTTTTTTGGTAGTTCTGGGGTTTGAACTCAGGGCCCCATGCTTGCTAGGCAGGTGCTCTACCACTAGAGCTACTCTGCCAGCCAAGAATTCTTTATGTGTTCTGGATTCAAGTTCTCTATCAGTTATGTGACTTGTAAATATTTCTTCTGTTCTGTAAATTGTTTTTTCACTTCCTTTTGTTTTGGTGGTGGTACTGGGATTTGAGCTCAGGGCCTCATACTTGCTAGGCAGGCGCTCTGCCACTTGAGCCACACCCCTAGGCCCTGCCTTTTCACCTTCTTGATAATGACATTTGATTCATAAAAGTTTAATTTTAGCTGGACATGGAAGCCTGCAATCTTGGCACTAAGGAGGTAGAGGCAGAAAGATCTCTGGGCTACATATTGAGACTCTATCTCAGAAAACAACAACCAAAGTTTTTGATTTTATCCAAGTTTAACTTATCTGTCTTTTCTTTAGTTACTTTTGAACCAGAATAATTAACCAATATAATTGTAGCTCATACATATAGGTCTTTGATCCATTTTCGGTTAGCTTTTATATGTGATATGAGATAGGGGTCTAGCTAACATCATTCTTTTGTATGTGGATACCCAGTTGCCCTCATACCATTTGATGAAAAGCCTACTTTTTCCTCATTTCTCATCCTTGTTGAAAATCAGTTGACCACAGATGCAAAAGAACAACATTGACCTATATGTATGCTAGAAGCATACAGTTTTGACTTAAATAGCTTTGTAGAAGTTTTGAAATCAGGAAGTGTGAGCCCTCCAACTTGGTTATTTTTCAAGAGTTTTTGGGCTAGTCAACTAGTCAATTTGTCAGTTTCTGTTAGAAAAAAAAAAGGACAGTTGGAATTTTGATAGGAATTGCATTGAATCTGCAAATTTGGGAAGTGTTTCCTTCTTAATAATACTAAGTCTTCCAGTTCATGAGCTGTAAATTGTTTTATAGTTTTCAGTGGGCTTTTTTTTTTTTTTTAAGACAGGGTCTTGCTATGTAGCCCAGGCTAGCCTCCAACTCACAATCCTTCTGCCTCAGCCTCCCAAGTGCTGGGATTATAAGTGTGTACCACCATATCTGGCTAAAATTGTTTTCTTAATTCCATTTTCTAGTTGTTTTTTGCTAGTGTATAGATATATAAATGATTTTTGTGTGTTTATTTATTTATTTATTTATTTATTTTAGTACTGGGGTTTGAACTTAGGGCTGATACCTTGAGCCACTCCACCAGCCCTATTTTTGTGATAAGTTTTTTTGAGATACGGTCTCAAGAATTATTTGCCTGGGCTGACTTCGAACCACGATCCTCCTGATCTCTGCCTCCTGAGTAACTAGGATTGCAGGTATGAGCCACTGGCGCCCCACTATGTGTTTTTTGTTTGTTTGTTTGTTTTTCTCTTTTTTGGTAGTACTGGGTATTAAACCCAGGGCCTCATTCATGCTAAGCTAGCACTATACTACTGGAGCCATGCCCCCAACCAGATAGCAAACAACCTAAGTTGTCTATAAGTATTTTTCCTAGGCTGATGACTCCCAGGTAGTGCTGAAGAGGGAGGGGATGGTATAAGGTATGAATGAGGAGGATGGAGTTCACTCAAACCCACAGAAAACAAGGATCTTCCCTGCTGCATGCTAGAGAATCGGCTTTGTGGCAGCGGCCCCATCATCTTTATTGCTTTCGGTGAATGAGGGTGACTCTCCACACCACAGAAACAGGGCTGAAAGGAGCTGTATCAGAGAGGCAGCTCAAGCATCAAGATGCTGTCCAGACCAAAACCGGGGGAGTCCGAGGTGGACCTGCTGCGCTTCCAGAATCAGTTTCTCGCAGCTGGAGCAGCCCCAGCCGTGCAGTTGGTGAAGAAAGGAAGCAGGCGAAGTGGTGATGCTGACCTGGACCAGCCCCTGCTACAGGATGGTCGGGATGTGGTGATGCTTGACAGTGAGTGCCTACACATATGAGGTTGAGAGGGAGAGGACAGTCTCGAGCCTCCCTTGTCCTCATCCTGAGGTTCTGCCCCATCATTACTGCAAACACTGCCTAGCCTCTGTTGCTTCATCTTGTAGATTAAGAAACCTAGGCTTGATGAGGTTAAATATCTTAACCAAGGCAGCTGCTTTTATTTTATTTGCCCACAACCCTCAGTTTCCATGGCTTCCAGGGAAAGTCTGAGTATCCTCACATCTTGGTTTTTTCTTTCAGATCTCCCAGACTCACCCCCAGCTTTGGTTCCTGCTCCCCCAAAGAGAGCCAGGCCCAGCCCTGGCTGCCCCCTGCCTCAGGATGAGGACCCTGAAGAGAGGCTGAGCAGGCATGACCAGCACATCACTGCTGTCTTGACTAAGATTATTGTGCGTCCCACCCTTTCTGGATGGGATGGGTTGTTCTAGGGCAGCCAGGATATTTGGGGGGCTTCAGAAAGATGGACTTTCTCCTCTGCAGTCAGGGTGGAGGCTGGGTTAGAATCACTGACACTGGCCGCCAGGTGGGATAGGGGCCAGCATGGGGAAGTCTCTGCCTCTTTACTTCTCTGTGCTTTGTTGCCACAGGAACGAGATACAAGTTCAGTGGTGGTCAATCTGCCTGTGCCCAGTGGTGTTGCTTTTCCCCCAGTATTCCATCGCTCACAAGAGAGACAGGTAGGTAGGTAGGTAGGGGTAACGATGGTGCTTAGAAGACAGTCAAGTGTGTCTCAGAGTGCATCTTTTCCAGGTACATAATTTTGGCAATAGAAGCAGTCCAGTAGTTGCATTTCTAAAGCAGCAATGTGCCAAGCATTACACAGTACCTCACTTAATCCTCAGGACAACCTGTAATGTAGCTGTCATTGTCCCTATTTTTCAGATAATCAAACTGAGACCCTTAAAGATATCTAATAGGCAAAAGAGCCAGGACTTCAACCAAAGTTTGTCACATTTCAAGATCTGTGTTTCCCTACATCCCTACTTTTTGTTTTGTGTGGGTTTTTTTTTTTTTTTTTTCCTTCAATACTGGGTTTGAACTCAGGACTTTGTGTTTGTTAGGCAGGTGCTCTACCATTTGAGCTGCACTCCCAGCCCTGTGTTTTGTTTTTTGAGGTACTGGGGATCTTGAACCCAGGGCCACACATGCTAGGTAGGTGCTCACCACTGAGCTACACCCCCAGCCCAAGCCCTACTTTTTCTGAGGACTAGGGTTGTGACTTCTAGACATTGGTATAGGGAGTTGAGGTAGAGTGGATAGGTGTCAGTAACCTGGGTTTTTCTTTGCTCTGTAGGGGAAGCCAGCAGCATCTGGTAAGAGGAGCATCTTTGCCCAGGAGATCGCAGCAAGGAGGATGTCTGAAGGAAGGACCCCATTGGTTGGGGAAGTTGTGCCCAACCTGAACCCACCAGAGGGTGAGCTGCTGCAGCTAAAGATACTTGGACTTGGATTTTTTCTTTTTGTGGTACTGGGAATCGAACCCAGGGCCTCATGCCTGTGCTCTGCCATTAAGCTATGTGCCCAGACCCTGGGCTTGGCCTTTTTAGAAAACACCATCATAAGATCAGTTTTGCATATGTCTTCCCTGCCTCAAATGAGAGAAACATTTGAGCCATCTCAAGAGAAAGTCATCCTTGAGGAAGCCCTGAATTCAAACCCCAGTCCTTCTCCCCCAACCCCCCAAAAAAAAAACGAAACTAGGATGTTTCTGAGGAAAATTTTTTTCATATAAGTCTTAGAGAAAAAGTAAGTGAATAGCTATCACAGCCCTCCTCAGAGTGCCTGGAGTTCTTTGCCAGACCCAGTGGGGTCTCCCCTCTGCCCAGGAAAGCTCTGGGGCCTTTGGCTAATAGCCGTATAGAAGAGGGCCAGAAAGTCCAGGCAGAGTCAGGAGGGCAGGCAATGAAACTGAACATAGTCTTCTTCCAGGTGCTGTGACCTTTGAGGCACCCACCCTTAGAGACAAGGGCAGCCAGCTTCCAGGGAGCAGCCATAGCTTCCAGGGACCCCATGTGATCACAGGGAAGGGGCTCAGGGGCCAGGAGGCTGAACAGGAAGCCCAGACCATTCATGAAGAGAATGTAGCAAGACTGCAAGCCATGAGTGCCGAGGAGATCCTGCAGGAGCAGCAGCAGTTGCTGGCTCAGCTCGGTATGAGGGCCAGACTTTCCTGCTGGGACTGGGCTGGGAGGGCCTGCCACTGTTGATGAAGGTGCTCAGCTGAGTTATTCTTACTTTTATTTTATGTATATACTTTATGTATGTATGTATGTATTTTGCAGTGCTGGGAATTTAATTCAGGGCCTCATGCATTTTAACTCAGGGCTTCAAGCTTGCAAAGCAGCAGGTGCTTTTCCACTCAAGCCACATCTCCATTCCATTTTTCTGTGGTTATTTTGGAGATGAGGTCTTTCGAACTATTTGTCCAGGCTGGCCTTGAACCACAATCCTCCCAATCTTAGCCTCCTAAGTAGCTAAGATGACAGGTGTAAGCCACTGGCACCTGACTAATGCATTCTTCTATTTTGTCCTTAAACTACTCCTACAAGGAAGTGATGTTCACTTCATTTTGCTGGGCCTTGCACATGAAAGGCATGTGCTCTGCCATTGAGCTCTGTCCCCAGCCCTACATACGGGATTTAAACACAAGTAGGATTAAATGTGGGAGGCCCTCTCAACCACTGTGCTATGTATTACTGTGCTACCTGCTGTAGTACACACTGCTTTATTATAGACATACTCTAATGTAACTGAAGTATGTTCTGTTATACGTATGATACTTGGCATGCCTCATCTCCCTCTTAGTTTCTTCTGTTCATCAGAACACTGGACACCTAGTCAGTCTTATTCCCTACTGTTTATCTAGCACCTATATAATATATATTAGATTTTTGGTAAGTGCATACATAAACTGGTGAAGGAAATCGTTCCACTAAATGCCTTCTCTTTTGGCCTAGCTAGCAGTCATTCTTTTATTCCACAGCCACTTACTGTGGACCTCTGACCTGATGGCAAACATTGGGGTCAAGTATAGGAACCTGGGCCAGAGGACTGTGAAGGATAGAGGGAAGGGGGTGCAGTCAGGCCCCAGAGACTCCACAGGTATGAAAAGGCAGGGTCATTGAAGGGGCATTAGAGAGCACAGGGGGCCCAGGCCATGCCTGGGAAGCAGCTCATCTTGTCCTTTTCCTTGGCACTCAGAGGCAAGCAGCTTTCAGCAGGTGCCAGGTCTATAGGAAGCTGGGAGTATCTCATTCTCTCTCCTCCCGCGCCTCTAGACCCCAGCCTGGTTGCCTTCTTGAGATCTCACATCCACACTCGTGAGCAAGCAGGAGAGAAGGCCACCAAGAAGGAGAGGCCAGGAGGACCCTCAATTCATGTCACCAAAGAAGAGCCCATCATGTCAGCTTTGGCTGGTGAATCCAGGAAGGAGGACAAGCTGGAGCCAGAAGCCCCAGGTTTGGAGGAGAGGGACTATCTTTTGGTGGGAGAAAGTAGAGAAAAGAGCCCTTCCTCATGGGCCTGGCGGATGGGGAACAGAGAAGCTTCCCTGCCCTTGAAATTGGAACGTTAATCCTCATTAGTGCCCTTAAATTGGCTCAAATCAGGATTCATTTGCTGATGCCCATCTTCTTCCTGCACATGCTTCCTGTTTTCTTGTCCTGTTATTGCTCCTTCCCTCTGTGCTTTGGTAAGAGGCAGCACGTGACAGCTGAATGCTCCCTCCCTGGGCAGACCGTCTGCCCTTGCTACAGCTACCCAGCTCTGGTTCTGTCCATCCTACATTTCTTGCTGCTGCTTCTCTGTGTTGGGAGAAATGGAAGGGCCAGGGTGATGGGAGAGGAGGAGTTTGACAAAGGTCTATAGACATGCCAGACTCAAAGTAGAGGCCAGTGGAAGCACTCATTTCCCAGAAACTAGATTATTCCATTAGGGATTAACAAAAGGAGAAATTGAATTACAACAGCCAAGAACCTCCTGCTGCCTGAGGAGTGCTGGGCTAGCAGGGCAGGTTGGGTAGGGGTAGGGGTGAGGAAGGAAGAGGATGTTGGGGAGTTCATATCCTGCCCCCTGGAGCTGTATAGCCTCCCCCTCCCATTGTTCCTATTCCCTGGCTCCTTCAAAGGGTTGGTACTAGAGAGTGGACAGCTGTGCTTTCCCTGGTCTATGTAGTTCTCCCTAGTCTGTTCCTCTTTCCCTCTCTCTTCTCTTTCTTTCTTACTCTTTTCTTCTCCCAACAAATCCTTGAACTCAGCAAAGAGCTATAGCCAGGTCTGGGTATATCTACAGTAGCTGAGATATTCACACAGTTCCCAGGAATTCCAGCTTCAGGCCATGTCACTTAGCCATAACTGAGAGTAGAAGCTGCTGGATTCTGGGAGACAGTGGGACTTGGCAGCCACTGTCTGCTGACTGGAACTCCTTGGGTTAATAAGCTGAGCATCTTAGGGAATATTATCATGCGTCCATCTCTCCAGTTCTGGCACTGCCCATGACCCCTCACAAAGAATGGCTACATATGGACACTGTAGAGCTGGAGAAGCTGCACTGGACCCAGGACCTGCCCCCACTCCGGCGGCAGCAGACACAGGAGGTGAGGAGAGCCAGCTGTCACACTGGTGTGGGGTAGGGTGAGAGTGGGGCTGTTGCTCTTGCACCCAGAACTCAGGCCCTTCTCTTCCCCAGAGCTTGGGAAACAACTCTCCTTTGTTGCCACCCTCCTCTCCCATCACTCTGCCTGGTCCTAAGGCCACATGAGCTCCATTTCCAGTCAGAACCAAAGTCCTAAGAGGCCTAGATAAAACTTGAGTAGGTACAGGGTAGTTGCTGCTGCCCTGAGTCTTGTTTTCTTTTTCTTCCCATCAGAGAATGCAGGCCCGATTCAGTCTTCAGGGAGAGCTCCTGGCCCCTGATGTGGACCTACCCACCTACCTGGGCCTGCACCATCATGGAGAGGAGGCAGAGGTGAGAAATGGAACTCAGAGAAGACTGGACAGCTCTTCGCAAGTGCTTTTAACAACTAACAACTAACTGTGTGGAAAAGGACCTCTTGTCAGGGGCCTTTTTTCTTTTTCTTTTTGGCAGTACTTGGTTTTGAACTCAGGGCCTCACGGTTGCTAGGTGGGCACTCTACCACTTGAGCCACTCTGCCAGCCCTGTCAGTTGCCTTTGACCTCCTACATTCCCTGTTCCAGTTCATGCTTGCTATCCACTCAGTTTGTTAGGTTCAAAATGATGTTCCTCTTCTACTTGCATTCTGGTCAGTTCTGGAACTTGCCAGTCCACTTCTGTCACCTCCCCATGGTGCTCCCTGGATCAGGGCCTTGCCCCTAGTGTCTGCTCACTTGCCAGGCCTTCCATGTTCTCCTTCAGGCCATTCCATCCCTCATAGAGCTGCCATACTGACTTCCTCTGGCCCAGCTCAAGCTCTGCCTTGCCTTGGAAGGTTTGTCTTCTCAATTTGAGTCACAGAATAAGGAGACAAAAAAGTCCTTCCATAGGCTGTCATTGATGACCCTCTTGCTCTGCATCCTTCACCCTGATGTGACATACCACTCTGCTGACTCCTCCCCACATACCCTGTGCTCAAGGACCTCCAGGGCTTGCCTCCAGGGAATGCCTGGACCCTTACTCCATGCTTATTGAAACCAGATCACTTTTCCAGATCCACCGCCGCTTGCAAATTAAACAATGACTGCATTCCTCCCACATCTCCCTTACGCCATGGTTACTTGTGTGCATGTCCTGTCTTCTTTACCAGGTTGAGGCTCCATGACAGCAGGAGCAGGGGGACATCCCTTACTTACCTTTGTCTTTCTCTTGACACCTTACTATGTATTTTGGGGCACTGCCCTGCATCTTGGCTCTTTCTGATTTTTCATCCCTGCCCCAGAGAGCAGGGTACTCCCTACAGGAACTATTCCACCTGACCCGCAGCCAGGTGTCCCAGCAAAGAGTGCTAGCACTGCATGTGTTGTCCCAGGTCATTGGCAGGGTAAGTGGACTGCTGACCTCTTCCTACCCAGACCCATCCCACCCCCACAACCTTAGGTTTCCCCGCCTCTTGCCCTTTCCACTGTGGGTCAGTCTGAGATTGGAGCACATGCATGGTTGTGGGTGGGCAAAGACTCTATATAACTTCAGCGTCTTCAGCAAAGTTTTATCCTCTTGTCCCCAGGCCCAGGCTGGTGAGTTTGGGGATCGGCTCGTTGGCAGTGTCTTATGCCTCCTTTTGGATGCTGGTTTCCTCTTCCTGCTACGCTTCTCCCTGGATGACAGAGTAGACGGGGTCATTGCAGCTGCCATCCGGGCTCTTCGGGCTCTGCTGGTGGCTCCTGGAGATGAGGTACAGCAGGATAGGAATGCGGCTCGGAGGTGTCAGGGCCCTACTTCTCATTCTGACTATGCACCTTTGCTAAGACTTTATGGGCAGAATGAAGAACGAGATGGCAAGCATCACAAGCATCACTGTCTTCTTTCTTTTATTTTATTTTGGTGAGACTGGGGTTTGAACTCAGGGCTTCATACTTGCAAAGCAGGCACTCTACCACATGAGCCACACCTCCAGTCCATTTTTGTCCTGGTTATTTTGGAGATGGGGTCTTGAGAACTATTTCCCCAAACTGACCTCAAACCTTGATCTTCCTGATTTCAGCCTCCTAAGTAGTTAGGCTTACAGGCATGAGTCTCCAGTGCCCAACCTAAGGCCCTAGAGCCCAGAAGCCTTTCCTCTCTGCTCTTCATGGGGGGAGGGAGACTTTTACTCTACCGCTAGACCTGTTTCCTGTCCTTCTGCATCTTCCCATCCCTGACTTGTCCTCTGGCAGGAGCTCCTCGACAGCACCTTCTCTTGGTACCATGGAGCTGCAGTGTTCCCTCTGATGCCCAGCCAGGAAGACAAGGAGGAAGAGGGTGAGGAAGAAGAACCTCCAACAGAAAAGGCAAAAAAGAAGACTCCTGAGGAAGAAGGCCGACCTCCACCTGACCTGGCCCGACATGATGTCATCAAGGTAGAAGGAAAGCCTCTTTCTTATCCCTGACCTAGAGGGCAATGTGTTGGAGAGGAGGGGTCATCAAGGCCCAGGGCTCAGCCACATTTGGCAGTGGATTTCTCTCTCCGACCCCTAGGGGCTCCTGGCTACCAACCTGCTGCCTCGGCTACGCTATGTGCTGGAGGTGACCTGCCCAGGACCCTCTGTGGTCCTTGACATCCTGGCTGTGCTCATCCGTGTGGCCCGGCATTCCCTGGAGTCAGCCACAAGGGTGAGAATAGATAAAGAGCCTCAGGTGGCCTGGTCTTGACCCTTAGCCTTCCTGCCTCCCTTTTCCTCCTGTCTCCCACAGGTCCTGGAGTGCCCTCGGCTGATAGAGACCATAGTTCGAGAATTCCTGCCCACCAGCTGGTCTCCTGTGGGGATGGGGCCTACTTCCAGCCTACACAAAGTGCCCTGTGCTGGTGCCATGAAACTACTTAGGGTCCTGGCCTCAGCTGGTAGGAATATTGCTGCCCGTCTGGTGAGCAGGACACAGGTCAAGAGGTGGGGGCATGAGGCAGGACTGGACTAGGCTGGATTGGGAGCTAAGCATGATCCCTAAACTCTGGGTGGCTAGCTCATGCCATCTTCCTCTTTCTCTCTGGTCCAGTTGCTTAAAAATTCCACAGAAAGCACCAGGCAGGAACCTAGAGCCTAGTGCATCCTGTAGGCATACTCTGGTCCCAGGACATGGGGAGGAGGGGTACAGGAGGAATACTCCCTGCTCCCAACCCAGATCCAAAAAAGACACATACAGACAGGCATTTGTTACCTGTAGCCAGGTAGCTTAGAAAAAGTACTTAGCAAGTGCTTGCTACAAAAAGAGAAATAGAGAGCACAAGGTGCTTTGACCTTTGCCCAGAGCTATAACCTTGTGGTACCACAAAGGCTTGAACAGGCCAAGTTGAGCCCACTTCCCTAGTGAGAGAGCCTGACACTAGTGTGACTCCAGCTGACCCTGATTCCCAGACTTTCTGCTCACCTCCAGTTGAGTGGGTTTGATCTTCGGAGCCGCCTGTGCCGCTTCATAGCTGAGGCTCCCCAAGAACTGGTCTTGCCTCCTGAGGAAGCTGAGACACTGAGCACTGAAGCTTTTCGCCTGTGGGCTGTGGCGGCATCCTATGGCCAGGGCGGTGACCTGTACAGGTGAGGAGAAGCAGGGGGAAGCTTTCTTGTAGATCCTCCTCAGTTCTGCACTTATGGCCCAGCCTGGCCCTTCAGCCTTGCTTGAGGTCACAAGCTTGGAAGGAGGCCAAGAATGAAGAAGAGGGCGTTCTGCTGGGTGTGAAGTGCCTGGGGTCAGGACCAGCCAGAAAGAGAAAACAAATCTGGGTTCACTGCATTTTTGTGTACAAAAGCACTGGTGTCTTGGTGAAATCACATATAAATTCCCTATTGGGGGCTGCATCCTTCCCACTTTTCAGGGCCTAGGCTTCCAAGAGTACCCCAGCCTGGGCCTTTTCCTCCGGATCCTCCTTCACAAAACAGGGCCATGCCTTATGTTCTACATCTTCATCTCCCTTCATCCAGTGACAGCCAGTCATTGTTCTTCCTCAGGGAGCTGTACCCAGTGCTCATGCGGGCCTTGCAGGCTGTGCCAACAGAGCTCAGCAGCCACTCCCCACAGCCCCTGTCCATGCAGAGGATGGCCTCCATGTTCACTCTTCTAACCCAGCTGACCCTGGCAGCCAGCAGCACCTACCATGAACCTATCAGGTAGGCTGCCCTGAGTTTGCCAGCAGGGATATCCTCCTAGCAATCCCCAGTCAGGCAGGAATACCTCTCCGCAGGCAGAGTGGCTGGAGCACAGGCGAGTGAGCCAGACCCTTACTGTGGCCCTTTTGGCACTTCTGCAGTGATTCTGCTGAGACCCACGTGCCAGCCACCCCTTCTTCAATCACTTGGGCACAGGTGTCTGGACTCCAGCCTCTCGTGGAGCCATGTCTAAGGCAGACTTTGAAGTTGCTGCCCAGACCTGATATGTGGAATGCTCTGGGCCCAGTGCCCAGTGCCTGCCTGCTATTCCTAGGTGCCTACTACCAGGCCTGGAGCCAGCAGGTGAGTGAGTGCTGCCTGCCTACCTTCCTCCATCTGCATCCCACCCACTTGTTCCCCTCCCATATCCACCTATCCATTCCTGCCTCTCCATTCCCACCTTTTCCTACCTCCACCATGTGTGTGTGCGTTGCTGGAGACGGAACCCAGGGCCTCATGTGCTAGACTAGTTCTCCACACTGAGTGGTACCCCAAACCCTAGACTCTAACTTTTAACTCCTGCCTGTCCTCCTCTTCCCACCTCCTTATCCCAGTGGAGCTTCCAAGGAGCCATGTTGGTTGGGACCAGAGACCCCCAGCAGTAGCTCTGCCTTGTGCTCTCTTTGTGCACCCTAGACATTGTGCACCCGAGTAGCCTCAGGGCCTTTTGTCCTTCAGAAGGGTAGACTACAGAATATCCATACTGATTCTGTGGGGCTCTGGGAATGGTGGGCTTGGCCTGAGTAGACAGGGCTAAGAGAATGGTGGCCTGGTCCATCGGCTTAGTGAGCTCCTTGGTCCTCCAGCCAGCCTTGTGCCCAGAAGATTGGCTTCAGGATATGGAACACCTATCAGAGGAGTTGTTGCTGCCACTGCTGAGTCAGCCCTCTCTGGCCAGCTTATGGGATTCCCTCAGGTATGTCCTAGGAGTACAGCTGAGGGGAGATGGGAGAGGAGGCAGTTTCTCTCCTTGTGGGATTCCAGGGTCCAACTCCCTGGTCTGAACCTGGGAGGTCTATCTCCCAGAGGCCTGAGGGGAACCTGAGTCCCTAGCTAACAGCAGCTCTGTGGGGCTCTGAGGAACCTGGGCACTGATCTGCACAGCCAAGCCCCTGCTGGCCTTTTCCAGTGTGGCACATCAGGCCAGAGCCTCCTCAGATTCTCCATTCTACCCACAGGCACTGCTCCCCTCTCTGCAATCCACTGACCTGTACTTCAGCCCGTGAAGCTCTCCCCAGCCTTGTGTCACTGGGCTGTGCAGGAGGCTATCCCCCTCTCAGTTTGGCTGGCTCAGCCTCACCCTTCCCATTCCTTACTGCCCTTCTCTCTCTTGTCAACACCATGGTCCGGATCCACAAGGGGCTATGTTGTCAGGTAAGCCCTGGGTGCCTGGTTAGGGGACAAGATGACAGAAGTCAGAAAGAAGGGAAAGGTGTCCACAGGAAGGGAGGCCTCTCCTGCCAGCAGGAGTGGCTGGGAGGGAGCAGCCAACTGGGGAGCCCCAGAAGGCATCAGAGTCAATTTCAAGATCTGAACAAATTTGCTTTTCCTCAGCTGGCCACCGTATTGGCTGCCCCTGGACTCCAGAACTACCTCCTCCAATGTGTGGCTCCTGGGGCTGCCCCACCCGTCACACCGTTCTCTGCCTGGGCCCTACGCCATGAAAACCATCTGCAATATCTGGTGCTCTCCCTGGCCCAGAAAGCGGTGGGTCCCCCTGTCCATGGGTTTAGCACCCCTAATCCATTACCCTTCCTACTTCTCTGGCACCTGTGCTGCTTCTGCCAAGCCATACAGCTCCTACTTTATTCCATATTTGTTCATCTGTGCCCTCTGCCATGTGTATGTCCTCTTCCTCACTTTTGTCTGCTTTGTTTTTCCCACAGGCAATATTGCAGCCAGTGTTGGCCACTAATGCTGCCCTCCACCATGCTGTGGCCTTGGCCCTGCTGGGTCGGCTGCTGCCCGGAAGTGAGTACATTGCCCAAGAGCTGCTGCTGAACTGTGTGTTCCGGCTGGAGTTCCTCCCGTAAGTCTGGGGTTGGGGACATCAACTCAGCCATTTTGGACGCTGTTGAGGTTGTTAACAAAGCAGCCCTGAGTACTAGGTTTGACTCTCTTTTTTGGGTTATACTTAACCTGTCTGAGCTGCCGTTTCCTCACGAGTAAGGTGAACCTGAGGCTACCACTGAGAGTGATTGTGAGATTTCAGTGCGTTGTATGGCTAAAAATGGTATAGACGCTGGCTATTTGCTTGTAAAGGTTACTGGGTGCCTACTCTGTATCTGATATTCCCTTAGGTATTTACCTTATTTCAAGTATTTTACTGCTATTGTCCCTGTTTTACTGAGAGAAATCAAGTACAGAAGAGCTAGGTGAACTTGGCAGCTGGCTCCAGCATCCATTCTCTTAACTGCTACACAGCACCAAGTGGAAGGGCTGGTCCAGCCTTCTGGATGTGATTCCAGCTCTCACTTTTGGCTTTTGGGTTCTGTTACAGGGAAGGTGCATCAGGGGGTCCAGAAGCAGCTGACTTCTCTGATGGACTGTCTTTAGGGAACAGCCAAGACCCTCCGTGTGGACGAGGGGCTCTCCTTGTTCAGGCCTGCCAGGACCTCCCCAGCATCCGCAGCTGCTACCTGACCCACTGCTCACTGGCTCGAGCCAGCCTGCTGGCTTCCCAGGCCTTGTACAGAGGGGAGCTGCAGCGAGTCCCAGCCCTGCTGCTGCCTGTGCCTAAGGAGCCACTGCTTCCCACCGACTGGCCCTTCCAGCCATTGATTCATCTCTACCACCAGGCTTCAGACACTCCCTCGGGACTCCCTCCCACTGACACCATGGGCCCAGCCATGCGGGTCCTGCAGTGGGTGCTAGTTCTGGAGAGCTGGCGCTCTGAGGCCCTGTGGGCTGTGCCTCCTGCTGCCCGCCTGGCCCGGCTCATGTGTGTGTTCCTGGTGGACAGTGAGCTATTTCGAGAGACCTCAATCCAGTGTCTGGTGGCAGCCCTCCTAGCCCGACTCTGTCAGCCTCAAGTCTTGCCAAGCCTCAACCTGGACTGCCCACTTCCTGGTCTGACATCTTTCCCTGATCTCTACTCCAGCTTCTTGGACCATTTTGAGGCTGTTTCTTTTGGGAACCACCTCTTCGGGGCTCTGGTCCTCCTGCCCTTGCAGCGTCGGTTCAGCGTCACCTTGCGCCTCTCTCTCTTTGGGGATCATGTGGGGGCTCTGAGAGCTCTGGGCCTACCTCTGACCCAGGTACTTCTTATCCCCACAGGTCCTGCCAAGGACACCCTGCACTGGCCTCGCGGGGGCAGTTTTGAGCAGTGGAGAGCTTTGGTGGGCCTCAGGTTCCTCAGCTTACCTTTTGGGTGCTTTGAGGGGATTAGAAGAATCCATGAAAAGGGCTTCATATAGTAGATATTCATATTATTAACAAGGCACAGCTTCTTGCTAATAAGGTACTACAGTCTAGATAAGAGGTTTGCGAAAGCCAGGTGCTGGTGACTCATGCCTGTAATCCTACTACTTGGGAGCCTGAAATAGGGAGGATCATGGTTTGAGGCCAGCCCAGGCAAATAGTTCCAAAGACCTCATCTCCAAAACAACTAGAGCAAAATGGACTGGCTGTGTGGCTCAAGCTGAAGAGTACCTGCCTTGCAAGCACCAAGTTGAGTTCAAACCCCAGTCCCAACAAAAAAAAAGTTTGCTTAAAACAAAAACAAAAACATGCTTCTGAATTATTCAGATTCTGAGTGTGTTAAATCAGGATTCGGAAAAGGGAAAGACCAGGGACTGGGGTCATGACTCAAATGGTAGAGCACCTGACTAGCAGTCTCTGGACCCTGAGTTCAAACCCCCAGTACTGCCAAAAAAAAAAGATTCGGGTTTTATTTTCATTATAACTTATTCTGGTCAGTTTAAATTTTTAATATAAGTGCATTATTTATAAATATTTTATATAAAAAGTAAATACATTTTTAGGAATGCAAAAGAACATTGCAGGGCTTAAGATGTAGCTCAGTGGTAGAGCACTTGCCTAGCATGCACAAGGCCCTGGGCTCCCTCCCAGGCACTGCAAAAAAAAAGAAAAGAAAGGGAAAAAGAGCATTACAGCAGGCAAGCAGGTGGTTGTCTATAATTCCAGCTACTTGGGAGGCTGAGACAGATCAAGAGTTTGAGGCCCGCCAGGTGCTGGTGGCTCACGTCTGTAATCCTAGCTTCTCAGGAGGCAGAGATCAGGAGAGTCTTGGTTCAAAGCCAGCCTGGGCAAATAGTTCATGAGACCTTATCTTGAAAAACCCTCCACAAAAGTGCTGATGGAGAGTCTCAGGGTGAAGGCCCTGAGTTCAAGCCTCAGTACAAAAAAAAAAAAAAGAGTTTGAGGCCAGTCTGAACTACTGATTGAGATTCTACCTCAAGGACAAAACAAAATGTTAGAGTCATCCATAATCTGAGTGCCCAGTGGTCACTCAGTGCCCAATGGCTCAGTGTTAACCATTTTGATTTTGGCTTACCTTTTTCTAGTCTGTTTTATATATATTTTTCCCTCACTGCACAATGAGTTTTTTTCATTTAACATGACATAATAAGTATTTCTCATATCATTAAATAGTCTAAGAAATCAACGTTTAATTTTTTTTGTGGTTCTGGGGGTGGAACCCAAGGCCTTGTGCATTCTAGGCAAGTGCTCTATCACTGAGCCACACCTCCACCCCTAAAAAATTATAAAGTTTGTTGTGCATATGTGCCCCAACTTATCAGAACCCCTTGAGAGACTGTAGATCTTTTCAGATTTTTTGCTATTTTAAGCAATACTGTGATAAACAGCATTGGAAGCAAAGTTTCTATATATTTGTTTATTATATCATTTCTGTGTAGAATTAAAAACTTTTTAGAAAGAGAATTATATGTCCAAAGAATGTAAACTGAAAGACTTTATAATGTAATTAAGCAGCTGAATATGACATTTTAGTGGTTCTGGGTTTTGAACTCAGGGCCTTGCAGTTGCTAGGCAGGTGCTCTACCACTTGAGCTTCTGTCAGCCACCGTTAGCTTTGTCTCTGGAATACTATACATGGGCTCCCAAAGATAACTTGGCCCTTCCTTTATGACCTTTTAAAAATTTTAAGTTTGGGCTGAAGATGTAGCTCAAGTGGTAGATCATGCATGCCTAGCATGAATGAGGCCCTGGGTTTGATTGCCAGTGTCACAAGAAAATAAAATTTTATATATATATATATATACATATATATATATATACATATGTATATATACATATATATATATTACACATATGTATATATACATAAATACATGTGTGTATATATACCTACATGTACATGCTTTAAGTATATTAAACAAGAAGTGCCAGGCAGTAGATATTAACAACTGCTTCTTGGTTCCCAGTTTCCTCTGCTTTCAGCTCTTTGATTTTGTTTTCTTTTTTTGTGATGCTGGAAATGGAACCCAGGGTCTCATTCATGCTAGGCAAGTGGTTTACCACTGAGCTACAGCCACACCCCTGCTCTTTGGCTGTAACTCTGTCCGTGTGCTAGAAGAAAGATGGCTATCTTTCCAAGGCCTGATTTCTGCCCTGGAGTGCTATACAGGGCCTCCTGAAGACAACCTGGCCCTCCTTCAGCTCTACTTCCGGACGCTGGTCACTGGCACCCTCCGCTCATGTTGGTGCCCTGTGCTCTATGCCGTGGCTGTGGCTCATGTCAATAGCTTCATCTTCTCCCAGGACCCTAAGAGTTCAGTAAGTTACATCCCTATCTTCAGAGGGAGGAAGGGAGCTAGTGATTTTGTTGCCTCTGGGCCAGCTCGGGAAGAGATGAGAGTCAAGCAAGGCCAGTGGTGGCTACCAGCCCTTGGCTTAGTGCCACCTCTCTCTGTTGCGCTCCTAGGATGAGGTAAAGGCTGCCCGAAGGAATATGCTGCAGAAGACTTGGCTGCTGGCAGATGAGGTATGGTTGGCACCATTAGGAGGGTGGGAGATAAGAGGGTTTGGGGACAGGGACCTTAACAGGATCTTACTACTGACTTCGTAACATTTCTTCCTTCTGCAGGGTCTCCGGCAGCACCTCCTCCACTATAAGCTTACCAATTCCAGCCTTCCAGAGGGCTTTGAACTGTATTCCCAGTTGCCTCCCCTGAGGCAGCAGTATCTCCAGAGACTGACCTCAGGGGTGCTCCAGAATGTAGCATCAGAGAACTAGGACAGTTGCTATGGATGGAGAGATGGATGCATTCTGGGGCTCACCCATGGATGCCTGGTCAGGCAGAAGGGCATCACGTCGTAGGGGAAGGCAGGGAACAAAGGAGCAGAAGCTTGCCTTCCTGAGAATGCCTTGTTTGAGCTTTTTTGGAGCAGAATGAGCCTGACCATTACATCCTGATATCTGGAGTTCAGGATCTGGGGCTTCTGACGGCTTGTGTTAGGAGTGAAAGGTGACTTACTTAGCTATTTATCCCCTCTTTGGGGACAGGACAATCTACGTGTACCTTCCTCACCTTCCATTCCCCAGCTTGGGCTTGGGTATATGGATGCTATGCTGTGCATTGAAATAAATTCTTTTTTAGTCTCCTGGCTGATTTGAACTGACTTTACACAGCAAGAATGTGGGTCCTAGCTCCTGAGTGGCAGAAACAGTGTTCTCGACTGTCTAATAGAAGTATAGGTGTGAGTGAGGCCGGCATCTAGTCTACTTATGGTCCTTTTCCCATATTTCCAGCAGCTGCTACCCACGAAAATGCCAAACTCAGTGTGGTACAGTAGCTGCCCATACCACCAATCTTCCCGATCTCTACCTCCTAAGTAGCTAGTTCAATCGGTTTTATTAAGCAGCTATTGCACCTATGAATAGCAATGGTTCTTAAGCTGATGTGACAAAAGTCACCGGTAGAATGTTTTAAAACAGATCACTAGATCCCACCACCAGAGTCAGTCAGTAGGTCTGGCATGTGGCAAAGAACTCGCATTTCTAACGAATTCCAAAGTGATACTGATCCTGCCGTCCAGGGTCAACCACAATTCTAGAACCCTTGGTTTAGCCTGGCACTGGTGGCTCACGCCTGTAATCTTACTACTCAGGAGGCAGAGATCAGGGGATCGTGGTTGGAGCCAGCCAGGGGAAACAGTTCCTGAGACCCTATCTTGAAAAAAAATCATCACAAAAAGGGGTTGACTGAGTGGCTCAAGCAGTAAGAGCACCTGCCTAGCAAGCATGAGGCTCTGAGTTCAGTTCAAACTCCAGTGCTACCAAAAAAACCAAACCCCCAAAACCCTTGGTTTATAGCAACCTTATGGAGTAAATTCACCTCAAGGTAGAATGTCTACAGAGTTAAGTAGAGCAGGGTACCAGAGTTTCTACAGGTGCATACCTGTAATACCAGCACTGAGGAGGCTGAGGCAGGAGAAGCTCAGTCTGGGCCACACAGTGAGATCCTGTCTCAAACGGAAAAAAAAAAAAAACCAAACCTGTGACTATACCTAATATTATTCACTAAAATTTTACCGAGTAGCTATTATAATTTGTATTCAGAAGGTGTTTCATGTTAAGCAGAGGCTTCAGTCTTTAAAGTTAGCATTTTGAGCCAAAGATTGAAGACTCAATACACAAAGCCACCTCGAGGCCCAAACTGAGGAGCGCTGCCTTACCGTTTACAGAGCAGTTGCGTTTCACAGGACTGCAGGTGCTGAGGCTGCTGTGTCAGCAGTGCTCTTCCACCTCCGCCGTTAAGTAGGGTGTTAGTACAAGCACTTGCATCTATTGACTTTTTTTGGTGGGACTGGAGTTTGAACGGGGGCTTTGTGCTTGCAAGGCAGGTGCTCTACCTGCTTGAGCTACATCTCCGGTCCATTTTGCTGTGGTTATTTTGGAAATGGGGAAATCTCACGAACTATTTATCCTGACTAGACTGGAACTGTGATCCCTCTGATCTCCACCTCCCAAATAGCTAGGATTACACGCACGAGTCACCAGTGCCGGGCTCGACTGACATCTTGCCCAGTAACAGAAGTGCCAGGGTTACCAGGGCAGTAGAATTGTATGAGGTGAACACAGGAATCCATGTTTCTGAGTGTGTCACAGAGGTTCAGCCCTGTAATCGCTAAGACATTAATGTAGCTGTCAAGTAAGGACGCCTTACTTGGGCAGTCTAAATTCTTCCCGTGCGCGGTTCTGCTCTCCAACCACAACCCATGATGCACACTCCCTTCTGCTGAGAAACCTAGAAGCTCCTGCCCAGTGCCTGGGGTGTGGCTAGCCGCCTTCCAGGCTGTTGCCTCAAAAGGATAGGGTCGGAGCACCTCCTCCCTTGTCCTAGCCCTTGGGGCAGTCAGCGGCAGACCCAACAGCTAGAGACGCAGAGCCCCTGGGCAGGTGGGATGGGGGGTGGGCGGGGAGGAGGGGGTAGGAGGGAAGACACGGGGACGCGGACGGGAGGGGGCTCCACAAGGCTCCTCCCGGAAGCATTGGGACCTCGCTGTCCACACGCCCCGCCCTTTCCTCCTTCAGCATCCTGGGGTCTGAAGTCGGGGAAGCTAGACCGGCTTAAGTCCAGGGGTGTCTCGCGGACTGCTGACACGCCTATAAGCTGCATCCGCGGTGGCAAGTTCTGAGCCTCCAAACTCAGCTGCGCGGGCCGATTGGGCGATGAGCCGCTCCGGCCGGCTGCTGCTGTGGCTCGGAGCTGCGGGTAAGTGCTGTCTGGCGGTCAGAGGCACCTTCCTAGGCTTGGGGACGACGATCGGGACAGACCAGGTCGCAGCAGCTCCTCCCGAGGCCTCGATCCTTTGCCGCCAAAGCTTTCTGGTCGGTGCTCCTAACGTGCACGGAGGAGCGCGCTCAAATCTGAGGACCCGATCACAAAGCTTGGGAACGAGGGACAAGCCCTGGGGTCTCCGCACCGCCTGGGAATAGGGACACCAATCTAAGTCGAGGAAAGAAGATAGTGGTGCTGAAGGACCGGACTCATTGCAACCCCTCCCCAGTCATTCAGTAGGAGAACCTGGCAGAGGTATCAGCGGCCACCCTCCTGGGCCTTGGCTACGGAGTTTGTGCGCACGGGCTGCGCGGCATTATAGGGGTGTGGCCGCGAGCAGCAAGGGCTAGCTGTTGAAGGGTTACGTCTTTATTTATTTTTTTAATTTTTTTTTTTTTTGGCGGCACTGGAGTTTGAACTCTGGGACTCGCTCTTGCTAGGCAGGCGCTCTACTACTTGAGGCACTCCGCCAGCCCAACGTCTTTTCCTTCTTATTTCCCAATCCCAACATCCCACGCCCTCTCCCAACCCTTCTGATTCCCTGCCACCTTTCAGGAGCCATTCTCTGCTCCAGCTCGGGCTCCCAGGAGCCCTTCCTGTCATCCCCGCCCCTGCCAATTTCCAGCTCCCAGGACCCGAAAATCACCGCCGCGCCTAGCGGATTGGAGTCAGCCTCGCCCCAAAATCCTCTAGGTGAGGTCCAGGTTCCTCCTTTTTCTTCCGCTCACGCTACCCAGACAGGGATTCGACGACTCTTTCCTTTCCTGCTCCCAGGCACCGAGGGGCCTTGGCTGTTCAACACGTGTGGAGCCAGCGGCCGGCGGGGGCCCACGCAAACACAGTGTGACGGGGCATACGCGGGGAGCAACGTGGTGGTGACAGTGGGGACTGCCGGGCCACTGAGAGGCGTGCAGCTTTGGCGGGCCCCGGGCCCCGGCCAGTATCTGTGAGTGCCCGGGCAGGTAGGGGTGAAGGGCATGGCAGGCTAAGGTGCTACCGTCGGGGGAAGGAGGACCACGTGCGCACCACTTTGCATCTTTAGAGGATGTGGCAGCCACGTGTTACCCGGCTACCTTGACTGCCTCTCCTTCCAGCGGAACCAAGGAAAGGGTGGCAATAGTCGCCTGTATCCTCGATCTTGTTACCTCCGAGAGCCATCTCCATTAACACTCCTCAAATATGTGGAAAATCTGATTTTTTGGTGTGCAAACCTAGTCTTCCCAACCCTTCAGAGTCGATTGCAATCTCAAATGAGAAGGAGTCGCTTCTGTCACCACCCTCTGCGCGAGGCGGCCGGAGTGACGACCGAGGGCCAGGGACTCAGCGCCCTCTTCCCGCAGGATCTCAGCCTATGGCGCTGCGGGGGGCAGAGGCGCCAAGAGCCACCTGTCGCGGGCGCATGGCGTCTTCCTCTCGGCGGTCTTCTCGCTGAGGCGCGGAGAGCCGCTGTACCTCCTCGTGGGGCAGCAGGGACAGGACGCCTGTCCCGGAGTAAGCGCAGCGCGCGGGAAAGGGCGGCTCGGGCGCGCGCGGGCTGGGAGTGCGGCGGAGCGGGGACGCGGGAGTCCCTTCCTCGGTGCTCGGACACCCACGCAAAGGACAGGGTCCCGGGCGGCGCTCATTGCGTCCGGATGCCCCGCAGGGGAGTCCGGAGAGCCAGCTCGTCTGCCTTGGAGAGCCTTGGGCCACCGAAGAGCACGTGGCGACAGTCGGGGCCGACAGCGTCCCAAGCTCGCGGCATCGCTGGGCAGGAGGTGGCGGCGGGGGTGGGGGCGCCACCTACGTCTTCCGGGTACGTGCTCCTCCGGCGCTGGCAGTCCTAGCCCGATGGCTGCCGTCGGGGTCCCCGTCCTCTTCCGACCTTCCTTGGGGTCCCTCCATCCTGGGGACAGCTGGAAGCCCCTGCCGGTATCCCGGCCCTATGGCGGGAGCCCTCGGCCAGGGCCGGTGTCGTCCCTCGACGAATGGAGGGCGCGGCCCCTGACTCGCCGGTGGCCCCATAGCTGCGCGCCGGTGAGCTGGAGCCGCTGCTGGTGGCAGCCGGGGGCGGCGGTCGGGCCTACTTGAGGCGACAGGACCGAGGCCGGACCCAGGCCGCCCCCGAGAAACTGGAGACCCGCTTGGCGGCGCCCGGGAACGGCGGGAGAGGCGGGGCGGCAGGTGAGGGCGCGGGGCCGGGGGGGCGAGGGGGCTGCTCCGCGTCCCAGATGCCAGCCATTCTGCTGTCGCTTTGCAGGTGGAGGCGGCGGCTGGACGTCGCGGGCCCGCTCTCCGCAGGCCGGCGGCTCACTGCGGGAGGGGGCGGAGGGCGGCCAGGGCTGCGCGGAGGCCTGGGCTGCCCTCGGCTGGGCCGCGGCTGGTGGCTTCGGGGGCGGCGGCGGCGCCTGCTCTGCGGGCGGAGGTGGCGGCGGCTACCGGGGTAGGTGCGCCCTGGGGGCGGGTGACCCGGGTGGGGGGTAGTGAGATCCTTAGAACTGGCCTTCAGGATGGGTGGAACTGCTCCTCTCTCCCACCTGACAGGCCAGAGCAGGAACTCTTAGAAAAGGAGGGCTAATCAATTGCAAACCGCACGCCAGACAGGCCTCCCTGGGTTTTCACTGAAATCCAGGCCAAGTTCTAGTCCAACACTTAGGAATTTAGAGCTGGCTGAGTTAGCAAAGTGAGCAGAGCAGCAGAAAGGAGGGGATAGTTTATGTCGATAATTTTCAGAGTGTGGTTCCTGAGCTAGCTGCTTCAGCTTATTAGAAATGCAGATTCAGGGGTATAGGGTTGGAGGTGTGTTGGTGAGAAGTTGTAAAATTTAAGTCAGATTGGAAGAAAGTTCAAGAAATCTCCATGGTAACTACAGTTTTGTTTTTTGTTTTGCGGTGCTAGGAATTGAACCCAGGGCTTTGCCTAAGCTAGGCAAGTGCTCTACCACTGAGCTTTATCCCCCCCAACGTTTTTTTGTTTTTTTTTGGTGGGACTGCGGTTTGAATTCAGGGCTTCACACTTGCAAAGCAGGCGCTCTACTGCTTCAGCCAAACCTCCAGTCCATTTTGCCATGGTTATTTTGGAGATGGGGTCTCATGAACTATTTGTCTGGGCTGGGCTGGGCTGGAACCTAGATCCTCCCGATCTCAGCCTGTTAAAAACAGCTAAGAGGGCTTGGTGAGGTGGCTCACATCTGTAATCCCAGCTAAACAGAAGGATCTTAGTCTGAAGCCAGCTGGGCCAAAACACTAGACCCTTTTGGAAAAAAAAAAAAAAAAAAAAAAAAGAAAACTAACTCAAAAAAGGGCTGGTGCTGGGCACCGGTGACTCACACCTGTAATCCTAGCTACTCAGGGGGCAGAGATCAGTAGGATCGAAGTTCAAAGCCAACCCAGGCAAATAGTTCTCCAGACCCTATCTGGAAAAAACCCATCACAAAAAAGGACTGGTGGAGTGGCTCAAGGTTTAGGCCCTGAGTTCAAACCCAAGTGTTGCTAAAAAGAAAAAAGAAAATGGCTAAGAATAGATTTTAGGTGTTCTAAAAAACCAAAAGTGAGTGGTGAATCTGCTGATTAGCTCAAATGCAGTATGTGTACATATTTCAAAACATTATGTTGTACACAATAGATCCATACAATTTTTGTTTATTAATTAAAAGTTAAAGCTGAGCACCAGTGGCTCACACCTGTGACCTAGCTACTTGGGAGACTGGCTGGGAGGATCACCAGCCTGGGCAAATACTTGGTGAGACTCCCATCTCCAGAATAACCAGAGCATACAATGGACTGGAGTTGTGGCTCGAGTGGTGGAGCACCTGCTTTGCAAATGCGAAGCCCTGAGTTCAAACTCCAGTCCCACCAAAAATAAATAAATAATTCCTGTAATTAATTTTAAAAAGAAATGCACATTTCCAGCCATCTCCAACCTTCTGATTCAGAAACTCCTGGGGAGGGTCTAACCATCAGAGCTTTAATCAGACCTCTAAGTGATTCTGAGGTGCTCCAGAGTTTGGGGAGCACTGGTGTGGACAGGAGGTTCATGTCTGTAATTCCAGCTACCTGGGAGGCATAGGTTAGAAAGATCCATGGTCCAGGGTCTGCCCTGGGCAAAAAGAATGAGACCCTATCTGAAAAACAATCTAATGCAAAAAGACTGGCGTTGTGGCTCCTATGGTAGAGCATTTGATACACAAGGCTCCAAGTTCAAACCCCAGTACCGCCACAAAAAAAAAAAGAGGTCCCCCCTCTGTAGCCCCTTAGCTCCCACTTGTGAAAGAACAGCTCCTGGGGCTGCTGGAGTGGCTGAAACTGTAGAGCACCTGCCTAGCAAGCATGAGGCCCTGAATTCAAACTCCAGTACTGCAAACAAACAAACAAACAAACAACCCAAAACAAAAAACAGCTCCTGTATGGTAATGGTAGTGGAGAAAAGGCCACACAAGTTTTCCCATGAGGATCCCAGCTTCTCCACTGTTCATCCGCTAGCTTCCCAGCTGTGAGGCCACTGTAGGCCCGCTTCCCTCCCCCTTCCCCACACCTTCACCCCCCACTCTCCCTTTTTGTAGTCAAACCCTCCATCACTCAATTTCCAGGGGGTGATGCCTCAGAGACTGACATACTTTGGGCTGATGGGGAAGATGGGGTATCCTTCATACACCCCAGCAGCGAGCTCTACCTGCAGCCACTGGCAGGTACTGGCCCCAGCCCTTCACCTCTCAGTTTTGTCCAGCCATGTCCTCAATCCCTGGCCCCACTCCCATAGGAGCCACCCACTCTGCACTGTGAGCTCTTACATCTGCAGCAAAGGAACATTTGAGAAATGAGCTGTGGTACCAGTATGGGGCATACTTAAGTGCTTGTCAAGTGTCACCTTTGTTATGTGCTCTCTTGAAACACCTGGAGTGGGGAGGAGTCAAGAGTCCCAGAAGAGGGAATATACAGGCTTGACAGAAGTCCCCAGGCCCACGATGCCTGGCACTGCTCCTTGCTCTGAGTTCCTGGGCTAGAATTAACCATGTGGCTGGAAAAGACATTGTATGTTCCCATCCCCCATCCCCACTCCCCATATCGGTTGTTTTGCTCACAGTCACAGAGAGCCATGGAGAGGTGGAAATCCGAAGGCACCCTAATTGCAGTCACTGTCCTTTGAAAGACTGCCAGTGGCAGGCAGAGCTCCAGTTGGCTGAATGCACATGCCCAGAGGGCATGGAGCTAGCTGTGGATAACATCACTTGCCTGGGTATGTCTGGTCTTTGCCCTAGATCTGGACTGCTGGGGTCCCAGGGCACTGGGAAAGATGGTGTAGAGGTCTGTTGAGTGCCAGACTCTGGGTCGGGTGCCGAGTGGGGAATTGGAGACGCGCATGCGTTGCCTTCAAGGAGCACGTAGGCCGATGTGGGAGGTGAGATGGATATTTGGATAGATATAGACATATATCTAAAAATGGCAGTTGCTATGGGAGGTACCAAGTGGTTTAGGGGTTCTCAGAAGGGAGAGGTTGTTTTTGTATAGGATAATTGGAGATCATGGAAGAATAAACACAGAGATGAGTCTTGAAGCATGGGTAAGACTTGAGGGCATCCAGGTATGCTGGGGCATGCCTACTATAATCCCAGCACTCGGGAGGCTGAGGCAGGAGGCTCTTGAGTTCAAAGCCAACCTCGAAAAAAACAATCAAAAGAAAAGACTTGAGGTAAGCCAGGAGTGATGGCTCATGCCTGTAATCCTTGCTACTTGGGAGGCTGAGCTCTAGAGGATTGTGGTTCAAGGGCAGCCTGGGCAAATAGTTCAAGAGACTCCATCTCCAAAATAAGCAGAGCAAAATGAACTGGAGTTGTGGCCTCCTCTGCTCTGCAAGCACAAAGCCCTGAGTTCAAACCCCAATTCCACAAAACAAACAAACAAATAAAAAAACAAAAAAAACTTGAGGGTAGAAGGACAGAGAGGAGATTCCCACTGGTGATGTCTATCTTTCTTCCTAGACCTGCCCACCACCGCAAGCCCTCTGGTTCTGATGGTGGCTGTGGTGGTAACCTTGACACTGAGCCTCCTTCTAGTGTGCGGGGTTCTGATTCTGGGTACGGACCATCTACGGGCATGGCTGATTCAAGCTGCACCTTCTCCTCTGAGCTGTGATGGGCTTCTGTGGGCTCCCAGGGGCAAATAAGGCTGACTTCAGGACCTCTACCTCTGCAGGGCAGTGGGAGACTCCTCTGGGCTTCTAAGAGCAAGAGCATCTGGGGACCTGGGAAAAACATTTACTTGACCATCTGGAAATGTGTCCTGGGCAGGGGGAGGCAGGGCATGCCTGATTGGCAGGTAGAGGGCGTGTGTCTGTTTTTCCTGCCTTCAGTGAGCCAGAAAAAGTGGCAGGGCCTGTGGGGGACAAGACTACCAGGCCCTGAGCTGGAGCTGAGCAAGCTTCGAACCTCTGCCATCAGGACAGCCCCCAATCCCTATTACTGCCAGGTGGGGCTTGGCCCAGCCCAGTCCTGGCCTCTGCCTCCAGGGCTCACTGAGATTTCTCCAGCCAATGTCACTCTGCTCAGGTGAGTCACGTACCTCCTTCTGAGAACCTCTGCACTCTGAGTCCTCCCCCCACATTCTGCTCCCTGGTGCATTATGGATTCCAGAGATTATCCAATTCAAATTGTGCAGAGCAGATGGAGGCCCAAACAAGCTCCAAAAGTAACTTGTTCAAGGTCAGCTCTCTGCCCCAATTCTGGAATGGTAGGGACATTGAAATATGACTCTTCTGGAGCCTTCCTCCCAGGGTGCCCCATCACGGACTCCCACCCCAACTCTGACTTCACCACCTTCCCTGTCTTCTGCTCTGGCACTGGGAATCACTATATATCACCCTTTCAGGGTGTGCTGAGACATCCATGATGTAGAGAGGACTAGGATAGGGTCAGCTGGGAACATGGAGGGGGAAGGGCAAAGGAGATAAAGGGGGTAGTAGACCCTCTAGGACCCTTCCCTGTGCGAGCCACCCACTCCCTTCCAACTTGCCTTTCTGTAGAGCCTTGGGCCATGGTGCCTTCGGGGAGGTGTATGAGGGACTGGTAACTGGCCTTCCTGGGGACTCCAGCCCCCTGCAGGTGGCTATCAAGGTGAGAGGGGATGGGGCTTCCGGCTGGGGGTGGTTGAGCAGGGCACCACAGAGGGGTCAACAGTGGCTAGAGCTCCAGTTAACCATCTGCCCCCTCCTGCAGTGTCAGCCGAGCTCAGGACTTCTGTGCTTTCCTCCCCAGACCCTGCCAGAGCTCTGCTCTCGTCAGGACGAGCTGGACTTCCTCATGGAGGCGCTTATCATCAGGTGCACCTGAGGCTGGACAGGCCTGGGCTGGAGGGAGAGCTCAGGGCTGCCTGCCAAGTGGCCTTTCCTTCCCTGGGGCTGAGAGGCAGCGAGTCCAGGGTCACAGAGGTCCTCTGAGTGATTTGGAGCCCTAGAACGTGTTTCTCTCCCTGCACCACCCCACTCAGCAAGTTCAGTCATCGGAATATCGTGCGTTGTGTGGGGCTCAGCTTCCGGGCTGCCCCTCGCCTCATCCTGCTGGAGCTGATGTCCGGAGGAGATATGAAGAGCTTCCTGAGGCACAGCAGGCCGCACCTGGTGAGACCCTTCTTCCACCCTCAAGACCCCTCGAAAGACTCTGTTCTTGTGTCCCAGGACTTGCATGGCCTGATGTACCCTCTGCCTAACCCAGGGACAGCTGTCACCTCTGGCCATGCAGGACCTGCTGCAGCTGGCCCAGGACATAGCCCAGGGCTGCCACTACTTGGAAGAAAATCACTTCATCCACAGGTTGGGAGCACTCTTGGCTCAGGGACCCCAGCCCGACTTGGTCTCCAAGGACCAGTCCTTGTACACCGTTTTTTTTTTTCTGGTTGTGGGGTTTTGAACTCAGAGCCTTGCACTTGCTTAGGTAGGTGCTGTAGTACACCCCCTAACCTTTTTTGCTTTAGTTATTTTTCAGATAAGGTCTCACATTTTTTGCTCACAGCCAGCCTTGAACTGTAATCCTACCTCTGCCTCCCACGTGACTGGGGCCACAGATGCATGCCACCATGAACAGCTTATTCAGATTGTGTGGAGCAGGTCTCCCTAACTTTTTGGCCAGGCCTGGCCTTGAACCTCAGTCCTCCCAATATCTGCCTCCCGAGTAGCTGGCATTAGTAGTGTGAGCCTGTGGATGGCCTACACACAACTTTTAAGGAAACCGATCAGGAAGGATCATTGCTTCTGAGTCTTGCCAGTGACTTTTTGTCGTGTTCTGTAGGGATATTGCTGCCCGAAACTGCCTGCTGAGCTGCACCGGGCCCAGCCGAGTGGCCAAGATTGGGGACTTTGGGATGGCAAGAGATATCTACCGGTGTGGAGCTCGGGGAGGTGGGAAAACTGCTGCTCCGAGGGGGTTTGTCCGCAGTCTGGCAGGATTTGAACTCATCATTCTCCTCTTTCCTCCTGCAGGGCCAGTTATTACCGCAAGGGGGGCCGGGCCTTGCTCCCAGTCAAGTGGATGCCCCCAGAGGCCCTCCTGGAGGGTATCTTCACATCCAAGACAGACTCCTGGTGAGAACACCCCTCCCTTGTGCTCCTCTCCCGGCCTTGAAGCTAATCCTGTCCTTTTGGACCACTTCATATGTGGAAAGGGGAGGCCCATGTTGGGCCTCACTTGTCCCCACAACTACCACCCCACCATGATACAGGTCTTTTGGGGTTCTGCTCTGGGAGATCTTCTCATTGGGCTACATGCCCTACCCTGGGCGCACCAACCAGGAGGTGCTGGACTTTGTTGTCACAGGAAGCCGGATGGACCCTCCTAGAGGCTGTCCAGGGCCTGTGTGAGTTAAGAATGCTGCCCAGGGAGGGAGGTCCCTCAGGACCATGAGTGGGCACAAAACTCCTGCCTCTCCGCAGGTACCGCATCATGACCCAGTGTTGGCAGCATCAGCCCGAGCTGCGGCCCAACTTTGCCAGCATCTTGGAGCGCCTTCAATACTGCACTCAGGTGTGCCTGAGTCCCCTCCTTATCTCACTGATCCCCTGTGACCATCCTGGACTTTCCAGTCAGGAAGAAAGTCATAAAACAACTCTATGGCCCTCTGTTCCCCACCCTCCCGTTACAGGACCCTGATGTGCTAAATTCGCCCCTGCCAGTGGAACCTGTGCCCATCCTGGAAGAAGAAGGGGCTTCTGAGCTGGGGAACAGGTCTTTGGAGGGTCTACAATCCCCACGGCCCCAGAACCTGAATTCAGAGAACTTGAAAAGCTGGGGAAGGGGCCCTCTTGGCCCCTGGCTGTCCTCTAGCCTTAAGCCTCTCAAATCCAGAGGCCTCCATCCACAGAATCTTTGGAACCCCACCTATGGCTCTTGGGCCCCAAGAGCCCCAGAGGGTGAGGGTGAGGGCATTGACCTTGGCAATGGCTCCTCCCTGCACTCCTTCCCAGGCTTCTAGGTGGCTTGTTACTCCAGTAGCCTGTCCCCTGCAGTCTGTGCTGCATGTTTGGGCCTGTCTCAGGGCTGTCCTACCAGCATCAGACTTTCCATTGCTGGATAGCAGCCCAGGCCTCCTGGGGAAAGGCCTGGCCACTGCCAGCTTTCGGTCTTTGGGATCAGAGGCCACCCTCCACCCACCCCAGGAGGTAGGGGTGATTTCCTGGATTGTCCTCTCCAGGAGCAGCTTTCATCTGGGCAGCTCCCAATCCTGCGGATATTTCTAATAAAAAGCTCCTTTTACTTCCTCCTGTGATCTGAGTGGACGTGAAAGATTCTGGAACTGTGCAAGAGGGGACTAGAGGAGGAAGGGGATGAGACTCGAGTCACAGAAGCTGGATCTTTGAGTTTTATTGGGGAGGGGAGTCCGTTGTAGTGTAGGAAGTTAGACCAATAGGTCTATACCTGCGAAATAAAGTGTTTTATCTGGTCCCTCTGGAATTGCACAGACCACCTCAGAAGAGCTGGGCTGAGGAAGAAGCCCCCCCTGTTCCCTTCCCCTCCTGTAACTTAGTGTCATCCAGTTCTGGGAACCAGGGCTTCTGTGGAGGCCAACACCTGGTGTTGACAGTGTACCCCTTTGGTGGTTGGCACCTGGCCCTGCAGGACTCGGTGAGCTGCCCGCCCAGCGGGGTTCCAGTCTCTTGCCAGCATGCACAGAAAGGACACCCCGCAGGTCCACATCTGTCTGACCACTGGCCCAAGTGGGGACAAGGCCCCAGCCTCATCTCTCAGCCAGGCTGGCCAGGATGCCAATGAGATTGTCCAGCCCCAGCAAATAGCCGTCTTCGCGGTTGCCCTCTTCCCAGGGCCGCCGGTGGTCCAGGATCTGGCCATCTGGGAGTGGTGTAGTCTTGCCAAAATCGATGAGCCACACACCAGCGCGATGGCAGTGATCATGCACGAAGAGGAGTGAGCTGCCAATCACCTGCAAGCCCCTCACAGTGAGGCCACCATCTTTCTCACAGAACAGGCCCCCCCCCACACACACTAGTCCCACTCCAGCCTTTATAGACCTGACCCAACACCTGAGCCCACCAGCCTCTTACCTCGTGCCTCCTAAAAAACTCAGAGACCTCCAGGGTGTCCCGGATCTGCTGCAGGCGGTTCAGATACCTCCTCTGGAGAGGGTGGGGTGGGAAAATTAATGACACACTAAGGAAGGCCCTGCAAACATCAGCAGGCACCACGCATGTTCAGCTTGGCAAACAGGCTTGTGAGAACGACCAACCCCCACATGGTCCACCAAGGAAGGAACGTGCACAGCGAGATAAATGCTACCATTTATCACCCGGGTCACACAGACCAGGGATGACAAGGAGCCAGCCTTGGCTTCAGGAGTTCCAGCAACTCAGGGTTCTGGGAACCAGCTCTCACCAGCACTTCCGCATCTCCTTGCATGAACTCCTCAAAGACGCGGGTCACCTGCTCCCGGCTTCGGGTAGTCTTGAAGTCTGTGCTGCATGAGCCATCGGCTTTCTGAAGGAGGTGGGCAGGGAGTGTCAGGGGCCGGACCCGCCTGGGGGGAGAGGATCATGCAAGGGCAACCTGATGGTACCATCTCCCCATCCCCATGTCAACTTGTGGGGACCACGAGAGGACCGCCAGAGGGTGTCTCTTGGTGGCGGTGAGGGCAGGTGGTGGACAAACCGGGAAGGTCACCACGCAGGGTTGGACTGGACGAGAGGCGAGGCTGGTGCAAAGCGCAGGGACCTGGCCCACCTTGATGCCCTCGATGCGGAAGCCGAGCGTGGTGCTGGAGCTGATGCCCTCCCGCCACTGCATGTAGCGCGGTTTGGTGACCGCGCGCTGCGCGTGCTCCTCCTCCGTGGGCGCCTCTGGGTCCACGGCCAGCATTTTCTTGTACATGTCCTTCCTCAGCTTGGGCCGCTCTCGGGCCTTGGTTAGTTCCTCCTCCAGGTAAGTCCTGCGGAGATGCAGGCAGGGGTCAGGGCATGAGGGAGTGCCCACAAAGACCCCAGCAAGCACTCGACCTGGCACGGCTTTCAGCGCTCGTCCCGGACCCTTGGCCCCCATGGGTTCCGCCCGGCCCAGCACCCGAACCTGACGCCCATCTTGCAGTCAAGCACGCAGGGCCCATCGAAGCCGTCGAGGAGGTCCTGCAACTGCAAGTAGCTTCCCCATCGCGCTCCACTACGCCGTGGAAGGCCGGCACACAGCCACGCAGCGCGTCCGCCATCAGGCGCGCCAGGCAATAGCGCTCCGGCTCCGAGCTGCGCTTCAGGATCAGCCCGCTCGTGCCCGCCGCCTTGAAACTCCCTGCAGAGGGACTCCATTTAGCGTCCCTCCATGTAGTGCTGCTGGCCCCTTCCTGACCCAGAACCCCACTCCCACCCGTCATGATGCTCACCCGTGTGCCCTGCCAGCTGCACCCAGGCGTAGCGCTTCTTGAAAGGGCTCATGACCGGCAGATTCACCATGGTCCGAATCTTCTGCCAGTGGCTTTTCTGAAAGCGACACGGTTCCATTCTGCAAGTCGGCATCTCAGTAATGCATAAATCCTCCCTATTCTGGAACAGGGGCTCGCCCGGATCCCAACCCTGGAAGCAGTTGGAGGAAGGATGGTTCGTTTGTTCCTTCATTTCACTCACTCACTCACGGAAAGTTTATTGTGAGCAGTGAGGCAGGCATTCAGACAAGCACAGAGGTCATTCAGCTTCCCAAGTAGACTAAAAGAGCCCTGCGCTTAGCTTCAGAAGGCTCATGTTTGCACCCCAGCTCTGCCACTTGAAAACTGCATGAGCAGGTTACTAAATTGCTTTACCAAGTTTGGTTTTGTTTGGTGGCAGTAGGGTTTGAATTCAGGGCCTTGAATTTGCAAGCACTCTACCATTTGAGCACTCCCTCAACCTGATGGTCACGGTCACCTTGATACTTAATTCTCAGATCTACCAGCAGGGAATTTCTGAATAGGTCTGGGGTAGGGACAAAAATGCCTCAGGAGATTCTGGGGCCTAAGAAACAAGCCTGTATGTATCAGTTTCTTCACCTGTAAAACAGAGAAGTAGCTACCCTTTCTGCATTGTTGTGAGTAGTAAATGAGGCTTGAGTGTGACAGGCAATCTGCTTCCAGTTCCTTGGCATGAAGCAGAAGCTAGACAAACTAGAACATAGATTCACTCACTTGGGATGTCAGTTCCTCTCATTTAGGGAAAAAAAAACACCATCAACCCTTTACACAGGACCCCTGCAGAGAGGCTAGCCTGGCAGATTTGCAGAAAGGATGGCCTGGGGCTCCCAAAGACCCTCTCACTGTCCTCGGATTCCAACTCCTGAGTTAGCAAAGCCAAAGCCCAAAGTACCCTTGGTCTGGACCCAGAGCCCTGAGCCCTGAAGGTGGGATGCCAAACAAAGGGCCTGTCACCTTAGACAAAACTAGCAGGGAAATGTAGGTGTGTGGGGGTGCACCCCTTTCCTCAGGACCATTGCTCTAGCCTCCACCCAATCCTGACAGCATCTCATATACTCTGGACCTTTCTGCTTCCCACTTCAAACTCAGCAGTCCTGTGTCTCCTCTCTGAAGTACACATCTGTGTGTCCACTGCCTCCTCCCAGGGGTGCTGGCCTTTTAGGAGTTACTTCTGTGTGTTTGCAAGACTAGAGCCCAGGAACCCGTCTCCCTGCTGGCAGAGAGTGCTAAGGAGAACTGAGAAGGCGATGCAGTAGTGGACCATAAAGTTTTGCCCATAGGAAGGAGAGGGGGGGGTGGAGATGACAAGGCACTGGGCAGGCGGAGAGTGAGCACAGCTGGTTCCAGACCTGGTGTTCTCACTCTCTGGCTGAGTGAACTCAACCAAGAGCTGGCATTTGTGTGAGCCTGTTTCCTCTGGGCGGATTTAGCGGCTGTTCTAACGCAGCCACCATTTGCTGACTACCTACTGCATGCCAGCCACCTTCTCATCTTCCCTCAGACAGCACTACTCTGACTTTCCTTCCAAGGTCCCTACATGGCATACTAGGGGCGTGATCACATATCCAATCCTCAGGGATCTGGGGGTGTAGCCAGAAGCAGCCCACTAGCAGCATGACATCGCTTTCAGAACTCCCTTTTAAAAGCTTTAAATACATACAAGGTTTGCATTCTGCTGCATAATAAATCCAAGTTTTATTATAAACTCCCCACCCCCAAATCCTCAAGGAAAATTCCAGGAAGGTGACTTATGTACCTCCCTTAGGCTCAGCAGTAACTTCAATCTCTTCCCCTACGTTTTGTGTGAGAGTCGGACACGGTGAGGTCCACATCGGGCAGGGTATGATTAGTCCCCTTGTGTAGGAGGGAACTGGGGCTCAGAGGAGTTGGCATCACCTCACTCCCTGCCTCCAGACGCCCAGTCTCTGGCTGAAGCTTTTACCGCCCTGCACTTCCCTTCTCCCATGGTCCAACGCTTTCCAAAGTCCATGCTACCATCCTGTCACCCTTTGGGGATCAAATGGAACACCTCTTGAGAAAGGGTTTTGTACAAGGTGAAGCGATTTGAGCCATAAGGTGCTGTGAGGGCTTTGATCTCTGAGAATCACTGACTTGGGCCTGGGGACCGTTCCCCTCTGGCTAGACATCTATGCCTTCATCCAAAGGAACGGCTTTTAACAGTGGAAGCTTCGGGCAGTTTTAGGAGTCTGCCAGCAGAATTTGGGGAACAGTGCGGCCAGAATGGACTCAACTAAAGGATACACCTACTTCTATAACCACCCTACAAGAGGGAGGTTAGGTTGTGTGAGGGAATGCACTATGTTTCCTTCTGGAGTTCTGTGGATGCAATGACAGGGCTGGGGAAGGTACAGGGGGCCTGGTAGACAGGGTGTGATAAGCCAGGCATAGTGCCTGTAGCCCCAGCTAATCAGAAGGCTAAGGCAGGAGAATCATTTGAACCCAGTAATTCCAAATCACCCTGGGAGACAGCGAAACCTGGTCTCAGTTTTAAAGATGGCTCCATATTGGTGGAATGCCTCAAGTGGTAGAGCTTAGAGTGCCTAGCAAGTATGAGGCCCTGAGTTCAAACCCCAGTACCCCCAAAAGAAAAAAAAAAGGCTCTATGTGGCACACTACCACTTGGTTGACGTGTGATAACAGCATCACCTTGTCACCTATTCTCCCTATCCTGGTTTTGGGTTTCACAGGAGCCAGCTAAGAGCAGCAGTGACTAAGGCTGGTTGTAGCTGTGTAGGTCAACAAAGGGCTTTGCTGCTCATTATCTTAGCTGAACCTCACAGCAGCCTTCTGAGGTTTCCTATGACAGGATGTATCACACATCCCTTGCCAGTAGTGGACATGGTCAAGCAAGGAAGGAGTTGATGGCAGTGTTCTGGAAAAATTCACTGCCATAACTTTCTGCAGGGAACATACTGCATTCGGAATGTATCCGAAAAGCTTTTTGGAGAATCATTCTTGGGTGGGTGGGTTGGCAGGTAGGTGGGTAGGGATTTTAGCTCATGTGTAACAGCAGGGAAGAAAATTTTGAGCAGGTGAGACTTATTGTATGGCTATCGGAAAGCAGGCTTTTGATGTTACAGGGTGAAATCTAGCTGCCAACGAGGCCAAAGCCCCATCTTTTGGCTCACCCCTCTCTTGGAAATCAACACATAGCCAGAAGGCAGGGGAGCTGTGTGGGAGGCTCCTTGATGAAGTCCCAGGAGGACCCTCTGATAATTCCTTACCCCCAGGGCTGAAAGGGAACAAGGTTTCCATAGGCAAGACTTGGCTGGATCCTAGCCCCAGACCCTCCCTTGTCTATTTCTATGGAAGCCTTGAGGATACCTGCTTCTCATGTCACCTAGCCTAACCGGTGTCAGAACAGACCTTTGACTCTGTTTTTGTTATCACCCCGCTTGCTCCTCCAGTCATCTGTTTCTGGTTGAAGCTTTCTGCCAGCCCAATGCCCTCCCCATGTTCCGGTTGTGCCTGTGGTGGTGGGAGAGCCATCAGTTTAAATTTATAAAGTGATTTGCACTAAGGTATAAGTGACCCACGACTTCACAGTCCCAGGAGCGTTTCATTTTCAAAAAGGAATCTGTTAACCTAAATTCTGCTCTATAATTAGTGCAAAGTGATGGGGGGCGGTTCTGAGTCCAGGAGGGGACATCATCCAGGTCTCCTCACCTCTCCTAGAGCACTGAGAGAGGAAAACCAGATGAACAAGAGCTACCCCTCTCCCACAATTGCTCTAGGAGGCAGACAAGGCCTAAGAACACAGTCATGCCAGCTGCCCCTGGAGGTAGGCCTCCAGCTCCTCCCTTGGCTGGCTTGTGTGGTTTCCCTTCTCTGGGACATTTTCCTCTCTCTACCAGAGGAAAGGCACTGGAGAAAACCAAGTTGCCGGGTCTCAACTATTCTGCTGTGGTCTGGCTGTACCCTGGTCTTAGGAGGAAGAAGTTGTCTGCACCTGGCAGAGGCAGCCAGAGCCTTCCAGGGCCTCGGGTCTGCTCAGGCTGGAGTGGAAGGAACTGGCCAGGTGGCAGCCCTGGAGTTCAACCGCAGCACCTTCCCCCAGGTGCATCCTTCAGCCTGGGGAAGACCTATAGGCTGCTGGGACAGGCTGCAAGGCAAAGTCCGCTCCGGGCCTTTCCACGCGGGCGCAGGCAGCCTCTGTCAACAGCTCCTGGCTTATCTGTGTCGCTGTGGCTGTTTGCCTTCGGGGAGGCCCCGGCGGACTGAGGGGGTTGGGAAGGCCTGGAAGACGCAGCCTTAGAGCTGGAAGGGCTTTCAGCGGCCACCTGCACCAGCTCCAGGCGGCCCCAAGAGAAGCGGAGGCCCAGGGTGGCAGTGGCGGACCAAGACGCCCAGGGATCGGCAGTGACAGATCCTCAGAGTCCTGACCCCTACCGGGGCTGCTTACACAGCACGCCTTCCCCCCCCCGCGTCGCTGGGTCCCCGCGAGCGGAAGAGGGAAGCGGGGCGTGCCCTGGGCTCCCGCACCGCCGCGCCCTTCCTCTGTGCGTCCGCCTCTCAGGTGTCAGGGATTTGAGCGCGGGAGAGGCCGATCTAATGCTCAGGCTCTTCTGATGAGGACCTTCGAGGGTCCTCTCCCTGCGGCACGTTCCGCGGTCTTCGAAACCTTTGGTGACATTCACCCCGGTACGTAGGTCAGAGCAGCCCAGGAACGATCACCGGGCAGAGTGAGCTTGCCCTTCGCGGGAAAAGGATGAGGCGGGCTGGTGACTGAGCCCCCGCACCTACACCTGGCGGCAGGGTGGGGGGTGTTCCTGCTCGTGGCAGGCTGTTTGGTTTTTCCCTTCCTGCGTCCACGCCTCGTGCGGGCGCCGGGAGCAGACGGCAGCGGCTCCCTAGCAGAGCGGGGAGCGCCGCTCCACTCCCACTCAGGAGAGGGAAACCGTGGCAACGGCGGGGGTGGGGCCGCGGCTCCGAGAGGGGGCGGGGAGAGCGAGGCGCTTGTTCGCCCCTCTCTGAGGGTTCGCCCCGTAAGGCTCAGCCCCTCCGATCCTTCCAGTCCTTCCTCACGGTCACCAAAAAGCGCTCGCCCACCTCGCGGGTTCCCAGTGGCGAGTCGCGTACTCCTCACCAGGGTCAGACGCCCCAGGACCCAGCTGTGACCCTCCAGCCGAGCAGGGGTGCAAACTGCCAAGACCACCCCCATGTTCCCCCCAAACAGTGAAAGTCGGACCCTCCGCGAGGGGCGCTTGGGGAAGGACTCGGTCCTCCGCGAGCCTAAAGCTGTCCCCAGCGCGCAGCCCCCGCGCCCGGCGCTGGCCCCGCCCCCGCGGCCCGTACCTGACCCACGTCCTCGCTGGCTTCCAGCTGCACGTTGCCGCGGCTCCGGCTCTCGCTGTCGCTCAGCAGATCGTCCTCCGAATCCTCGAGTAGCGACGAGCCGGTGGAAGACAGCGACGAGGTGGAGAGGCGGCGTGGCTGCTGCAAGTGCGAGCCCACTGCCGGGAGGCAGTCACCCTCTGGCTCCGGGGGCCCAGGGCTGGCCGGGGGTACATCTGGCTCCTCGGCTGTCACGGTCAGCTGCGGGATCACCCGGGCAGGGGCAGCCCGCGGAAGCCCGTTGGGGACCTGTCCCCCACGCCGCTTGGCCCCGCGGGCCCGAGGATCCCCTGCGGCGGCGGCGGCAGCGACCGCGGCGCAGCGCGCCTCGAAGAGCAGGCGCAGCTCTCCGACGCTCCGGCGCGGGGTCCGCTCCAGCCCAGGGCTGCAGGACCCCGCGCCCCCCGGCTGCGCCATGCCCGTCGGGCCCCCGGGCAGGGTCATTTCCCGACACAGGAGCAGCAGCCGAGCTGCGGGTGGGCTCACCCGCCAGCCCGCGGCGCGGCGGGGACTGGAGACGCTGAGCGCCTCGGGCTTGAGCCTGCCCCGGGGCGGAGCCTCCGTGCCGCGCGCCCGGCCCCGCCCCGGCCGCGCCCCCCGCCCACTCCTTTCACTTTCAGAGAAAGCGCGGGCCTCCCCGGGCCCTCGCTCCGCAGCGGAGCTTCTCGGTTGCTCCTCGGGGTGGCAGGGAAGCCCAGGCTCTGCTGGCAGAAAACCCGGGCCGGGTCCCCGCGGCCTCTCCACCCGCCCTCAAGGAGGCGGAGGGACCGCCCCTGCCCCCGGACCCTTCTGCCTTCCCACGCTTTGGGGCTGGGATGGATTCTTCCTGGGGGCTCCAAGGAAGCTCTCCAGCAAGGAGCTCCCCGGGCGCCTTTCCGTGTTCCATCCATCCCAGGAAAAGGCTTCTAAGTCTTGAGCTTTTCTCCCGCCCGCGCCTCTCAGCACAGAGATCAAGGCCAGCAGCCTCCCAATGAAGCCACACCCCAGGGTGTGCGCCCAACTGGAGACTCTGCTGGCTGCTCCCCACCCCACCCCCATCCCTGAAGGTCCCCACTTCCTGAAGGGTAGAGAACAGGTCAAGAGGTGGAATCTGGATCTCTCCAATTGTCCCGGCCCAGTCCTGGCCTGCCTTCCCCTCCTCACCCCCAAAGCTGGTGTGCTGAGCCCTTCCTCCTCTCACCCCCCCCCCAACCTTTTGGAGCTGGGTGCCTGCTGTGTGGCTTTAAGCAAGTCATTACACCTCCCTGAACTGCTGATTTTTCCATTGCATGGTGGCTGTCCACCTTACAGGATTGCTGTGAGAATAAAATTCAAAGATGTTTCCAGGAGTGTAGCTCAGTGGCAGAGTGCTTGCCTAACATCGAAATTAATCCCAGTACTTAAAAACAAAGAGTGAAATCTTTAAAACCTGAGTGCTTTTTAGTGTGATAGTGGAGGCCAGACTCTCAGGCTCACCACATTCTAGATGGTATTTGACAGTCTTTCACCCCCTTGGCCCATTTCCCCACTTGTAAATTTAGGGAAACTCACCCGGCCCAGGTTTGTGACCATGCTACTACTGGGAAGGGAACACTGATGTTGAAGTTTCAGACACAGCAAAGTTCTTATCATGGTCATGGCTGAGGAAGCCTTTGACCTCTTCGTGTGTTGGTGGTCAGTGACCTGCAAGGCCACTTTGAACAGAGGCCAGTTCTTCTGCTTTCCCCAAATGCCAGAAGAGTAAGGATTCCCATCAGGCATTAGTGCCAGGGATTGTTGGGACAGAAGGCAGGAGCAATCCCTTACTGGCAAAGGCCACAGGAGGACTTGCCTTTTCTCTTCCCCCTTTCAGTGGGATTCAAGGATTGTCTAGAAAGAGGGAAAGGAAGGGTTCAGAGGGAGAACTGGAGCCTTCCACAAAGAAGAAAGGAGACCCTGGGAGACTGACAAAGGAAGAGAAAGAATGGAAGAGTGGGGGGGAGAAGGAAGGATGGAGGGAGCGAAGGAGTGAAAGAAGGAAGTACATGAGTTTGAACTCTTGACTCCTCTGTGGAGAAGCTGGGACATGACATGGTCACCTTTTCTGGGGCACAGAGGTCTAAAGGACTCTGGGTGTTTGTGTGAGGCGACACTGGAACATCCATACCTGGCACCTGCCCCTTCTTTCAGAGCCTTGCCAGCCTGTAGCAAGAAGGAGCTGTTCTCAGTGAGTGGGCTGCCGGCAAACCTGAGACCTACCAGAGTTTGCAAGGTAGGAAGGCAAATAGGAGGAGGGAACATGTCCTGTGGACCCGTATGGGCAATGCCATGGGTCCAAGTAGACTGGGCACTACATATATCTGTATAGGCAATACTGGGGTTTTGAACTCAGGGCCTCATGCTTGCTAAGCAGGCACTCTATCATTGAGCCATGAGCCATGTGCCCAGCCCAAAAAACCTTTCTTCTTCTATTTTTTAAAGACAGAGGATTTCTGTGTAGCCCAACCTGGTCTAGAACTAATGATTCTCCTGCCTCTGCCTTCCAAAGTACTGAGATTACAGGCATGAACTGCCCCACTCAGTAAAACAACCTATATTCTTGAGGCATCAATGATCCTCAAGTTGCTTAGAGTCCTGTGCCCTGCTCGGCACAGGTGGCTCACACCTGTAATCCTAGCTACTTGGGAGGCTGAGATCAGAAGGCTCAAGGTTCAAGGCTGCCCTGGACAAATAGTTCAAAAGACTCCATCTCCAAAACAACCAGAGCAAAGCAGACTGGAAATATGGCTCAAGTGGCAGAGTGCCTGCTTTGCAAGAGCAAAGCCCTGAGTTCAAACCCCAGTCCCACGAAAAATAAGTAAATTAATAAAGTGTCCTGCTTCCTGAGTTGTTTTTTTTCTTCTTTTGTGGGAATATTCCTGAGTGCTCACCCCTGTCCATGACCTTCAGGATTTATCATACCTGAGGGCTGCACCCTTCCTGGAGGACAACCCTGGGCCCCAAAAGCTGGGAAAGGAAGGCCTAGAAAATGGGGTGGGTAAGATGAGGGGTTTCGGGGCTTAATTTATCTCTGTCCTCCCACAACCCTCTCTCAGGACAACTCCAGCAAAAGGAGCAAAGTCACTGCTTGTCACCCCCTGCCAGGCCCAGCATAGAGGACAAGCAGGGGGAGAGAAGGGAAGGGAGAGGACCTCCTGAATGGAACACCTGTTGCCTCTCCAGAGGGAGCCAGCTCTGTGGTGGAGGGGAGGGGAGGGGTCAGGCTGTTATGTTCCTGGGTCCAGGTGGTACAGAGTATCATCCCCGTGACAAGTCATGTTCTGGGGCTTTGTGGCCTTCCAAGGGACTTTCCTTTTTGTTTTTGGCAGTATTGGAGTTTGAATTCAGGTCTTCAAGCTTGCTAGGCAGGCCGTCTACCACTTGAGCCACGCCTCCAGCCCCAAAGGACTTTCTGAACTCAAGATTCCAATATTCTGTGGCAATACCTTTGACTCACTCATTCATTCACAGAGCAAACAAACTTCTATTGAGTAGCTGCTATGAACTAGACATTGTGCTAGGTGCAAAGTCCCCTGACTGGGAATGATGGTGTGTTATTTTTGCATCCTTATGGAAGAAGGAAATCAGAAAAGATCCAATCAAGAAAAAGGGCACTGGGATGCCAAATGGCTGCCTGCACTCTGTTTCCAAGGGACTGTTAGCCAGGCCCTCAGTGTCTTCATGCTCTCTCAGCTGCTTCCTGCATCTGAAACATTCCCGAACTCTGGTAACTCTGATATCCTGCTCTGCCCAGGGCCCAAGGACAGGTCTCTTTCTTCTGAAAAGAGCAATGAATAGCTGCCTGCCTGACAGATGGGCTCCAACCCCAACCCAGACCCTTTTCCTTGCTTCTGGGTTTCTCTATAATCTTTGTCCCATCACTGACCGACCAGACTTTATGGAAATATTCTGGGATAGGTGAAATGATAGTTTAGTAGGGCATGGGATCCAGCAGTGTTCCCTGACCCTCTGCAAATCTCTTGTCTAAGACAAACAAAATGTGTCACCACACCTGTGTATGCACAAGAACATAGTCGCTCTTGACACACTTCAGAAACAAGGTTTTGGTCCCTCCAGGAGCCTGTGTTCCTGTCTCCTCCCTGTCTCCAGGTCTCCCAGTGGAAACCTCAGAATCTCTCCCAGCTGCAATGTGGAGACAGAGAGGGCTTGAAGAGTCTGAGTTAGGGACTCTGTGTGAAGAGAAATACAGTGACCTCCCTCCCTCACGACGCCACTAGGGAACGTCCCTGCATTTCCTAATCGTGGGAGTCAGTCGTGGGGCGCAGCTCCCAACCGCATTTGAGATCTCGGTGTCTGCGGGTGTGACCTCCACTCAGAGCGCTTGGTGGCCCAGTCCGCAGAGCATCAGTGGCGGGGCGGAACCAGGAGCTATGGGGAAGTTGGGCTCAGCGGCGGCCGCAGGAACATCTGGCACGTGGTGCCACGCATCAGGGGCGGGCCTGAGAGCCCGCGACTCCGGGAAAGTGCCGGGGTCCACGCCTGGGGACGCGGCGGGCACAGTGCGGGTCCCGCGGCTCTGCTGGCCCCTCTGCTGCGGCCTCGCTCCCAAGCCTGGGCGGAGAGTGGGGACCTGGGGCTGAGCCCGGGCCATCGGAGCCGTCGGGGGCGCGGCACACCAGCCGACGTGCGCGGGCTACCTCGGTCTGTTGCAGCTGCGTTCCTTGAACCCGAAGAACTGAAAGTTTGCGCTTTTGCTGCTGGCGGGCATTTCCCGGTGTGGCGCGGGGTCTTGCAGGAGACGCAAGCCGGGTGGAATGGCCCAGAACGTGGCGGCCCGGCAGAATGTCTGCTTGGTCTTTCCCCCTCCTTCTCCAACACGTTAATTGGGAGTCAGCCGCGTGCCAGGCCGGGGTGGGTGCTGGGGATGGGAGGAGATGAGCGGTGAACACCAGTGGTCTCCGGGCTGGGGTGGAGACCGCGCTGGGGGCGGGCGGCACCCAAACCACGGGGATGTTGGCGAAGGCTTCGCGGAGGAGGCGACTTCTCCGCTGGGTGCTGAAGGGCGAGGGGGAATGGCGAGAGAAAATCGATGGAGACAAACCCGCGCATTCCTGGCCAGGCGAATGCGCGCGCGCGTGGCTGAGCATTGCTCCACATCCGCACGCGCTCAGCAAAACAGGGCCACCCACAGTAAATACTCGGTAGGAGGGAATCCGGTATTTTGAAGACGGTAGTTATCATGGGAACGATAAGAACTCTGTTGGACTCTTGAGTTTTACTCTTGGTGGGGGTAAAGAGGGTTTTTTTGGGGGGTGGAGCGGGACTGAGGTTTGAACTCAGGGCTTCACGCTTGCAAAACAGGCACTCTAGTGCTTAAACCACCTCAGTCCATTTTGCTTGGTTATTTTGGAGATGGGGTCTCAAACTATTTGCCCAGGTGGCCTCAAACCTGGATCCTTCTGATTTCAGCCTCCCAAGTTGCTAGGATTAGAAGCGTGAGCCACCCTCCATCAGCCAAGACTCACAGTATTTAAAAGGAGGTGCAGTTAAGGACCAGAGGAATTGACAAGGGCAGGCACAAGCCGTCACCCACCTTCTCTGTGAAGGTTCACTGAAAGACCCACTGCCAGTCAATGGGAACCCCAACTTGGAGGCAGAGTTCATCCCCCAGGTACCTAGGTGGGAGCCACCTAGTTTCTGGTCCTGCCCTCTGCCCCATGCCCTGCAGCTTTTCCCCATTCCACAGGCCCAGCAGCCCCTTCCATCCTGACCACCATCCCTGGGGAGTGGCCTGGCCAACTCTTTCCAGCGCCTCTCCCCCAGGACCCAGTATCTTTCTCTCAGATTTACTGAACCTCTAGGGGGGACTGGAACATTTAACATTTAGCACACAATTCATGACAGATTATCTGTGTGCTGAGATGGTACCCAGGGAGCACTCTGCCACTGAGCTACACCCTTCCCCCCAGCCCAAGGCTATCTTGGATTTTCATCCTCCTTCCTCAGCCTCCTGAGTTCTGTATATTATAGCCCAGTGCAGATCACCCTCTTTAAAGGATGCGGAGCCTGCCTAGCAAGCATGACGCCCTGAGTTCAAACCCCAGTACTGCCAAAAAAAATAAAAAAATAAAGATGGGGAGCCTGTGTCCCAGAAGAGTTAACTAGCTGAGCCCTAGATATTAAATGGTGGAGGTGGGATATGAACCCTGCACCAAGCCAGGCTGCCTCATGGCCCTTGGCCACAGACTGGAATCCTCGACGTTTCTATGCTCTGCTGGTTGACCCCTACCCTCGGTCAAGAAACTCCACCTCCAGGTTGCACTCACCAGCCACTGGGGGCTGGCCAGCCACTCAAGGCAGGCTGCAGTGGCCCCCCCTTAGAGGTGTTCTCCCCAATCCTCCTCCCACCCCCACCCCCCACCACCCCCAAGATTGCTTAGTGGCTACCTTTGGTCTGAAAAGTCACTCAAAACATCCAAGCTGAGTTCAATGGCTTCCTGGCTCCCTAAAGCTGCTGCCCTGAGCACCACAGCTATTACAATGGTCTCTTCCTGGAAGCTGGGGAGATGAAGGTGACCACCCACCACCCTTTCCCCTTTACTCACACAGGAGGCAGCTGATGCGGGGGGGGGGGGATGAGGGGATACGTGAGGGGCTGCCCCACAGCCCCGATACTGAGCTAAGCTTGTTGACTGTGTTGTCTGCTGAATCCCTGCTTTCTAGGCCCACTGCTCCTAGCAGTCAAGCAGAAGGAGCTGGAGAAAGTCTCAGTGGGCACACTGGCAGGCTAAGTCCCATGAACCCAGAGGCAGGTTAGGACTTGGCTCCTACCACTGTGTGACTGTCCTCTTTCTCCTTCCCATCTCTGGAGAGGGAGGATGATCCAGGATCTTCTTGCTTCTTAGCTAAAATTCTGTCAGAGGTTCAGATACAGCCTCACACTTCAAGGTGCGGGGCCTTTACAAATGTCCCTTGCTGGTAAAGGAAAGTGTTTCCTCCATAGCCATAGTCTAGCTTCACACACAGGGTAGACGCAAAACAGGAGCGAAGGACCTGTGCCTAGGCCAGGTGAAAGCTGTTAGGTCCAGATTCTCACTTCTTTAAGCTTACTGGTCTCTTACCAAGACAGGAAGTAAACCAGAAGTGGAGGTTGCTCTAGGTCGAGGCAACTATCCTACCAAGAAGATTCTGGGGAACCAGGCTGTTGAAGAGTTGAGAACAGCAACTTCCCCTTCTGGGGGCGCAGGGCTAGAAGGGAAGGAAGGAGAGGAAGAAAGAGTAGCCCTCTTGGACTTTCACACATGGCTTTAAGGAATGCTACTCGGATGCAAGCTGTGGACTAAATCTGACCCTCTATTAAAATGGCAAAGTTTATTTACAAATATCTGTACAACTTGAGTGACAAGTCAGGATTTCACAGAAACAAAGAAAACAAAAGCATTCTTTTTGGAGGGAAGTTGTAGACAGCAGAATTTCCCTGCATCTGTCAGAAGACAGACACACAGACCTGTATCTGCCATGAGCTAGGTATGAGAACATTGGCCCTCTTGATTCTTGGAAAGAACTGAACAAAGTATAGAACAGCCTTGGGTGCCGCGCCCTCCAACACTGAAACCACATTAGGGGTGCAGGGGGTACTGAGGCAATTCTCCAGCACAAGAAATACTGTGACCCACCCAGAAGCCCAGCCAGTGGACAAAGCTAGTGTCATGCCTGGTGGAGACCCTGACTCAGAGGCCCTGCTGAGCTGTGACAAAGCAGATGCTGGGCCTCCATCCAATCACCAGACAGGCTACCTGGCTGCCATGTTCACTTGCAGTCTTCTTTGGTTGGCTTTTCTCCCTGCTCTGTGCTTTGGCATCTTGGCATGAAGGTTTTAGCAGCGGCAGGTGGGGAGGTAGTGGCAAAGTGGCTACAGGGTGATGCAGTTTTAATAAAAATTTTATTACACAGCCATAACGTAATTGACACTTCTCCAAATCCAAATGATACTAAATACAGATCTACATGGTGGATCAGAATGACTCCAGCAAATTATATGGATGCTAGGATTTTGTCTCTAAAACCAGTAAGAAAAAAAAAAAAAGGTCCAAGTTTGACATGATAGGAGAGGTCCCAGCAGCTCTTGGACTCTGCCAGAGTCCCAGCAATGTTTAACAGTCTGTGATTCCGCACTTACACGACAGTCTATAAAGAGCTTTGGTCAATGGACTATTCAAGTATATATGATTTTAATGAGTCCATCACCACTCCTTCGCCCAACCGAACTGTCACAGCTGCCACACAGCTGTGTTACACTCGTATTTACCAGTTTTACAGTCACAATACTTCCTTAAAACAATCCGTTGCTGCTTATTTAAAAGTAAAAAATGTAAACTAAGTTAAAGCAACACTGACGCTCTACTCAATCAAGGAGCGTTATCAAGTTCATTTTTATGTTTAAATACAATGTAACTCCATGATTTCCCATCATCCCCCTTCCCTATACAAAAAGTAGAGTGAAGTACAGAGTAGAGCTTCTGGATTCCTCTCCCTCTTGTGGAAATCTGCAGCTCTCAGCCATTTCTTTAGCGTGGTTCTTGGTATATACAGTCAGCTGTACTTTGTTCTGAACAGATTTGTTAAACGCCACTTTTATTTACACTTGGAGCTTTACACCTGAGAATGATTATCAAGCAGTCAGCTTATCTCTTTTCAAACATTTCATAGTGACATACACACCTCTTGCTGGCTTCACCCTAGCTGCACACCGAATATGCTTACCATATTCATGGACACACACCGCACGTGCTGGTAACATCTGGAACCTAAACCTTTTTGTGTTTGCCTTCCACATTCCCATTGAGTAATTTTTCTTGAAAACAAAATGTTATTCTTGCCAAAACATCAAACATAGTCACTAGGGAGAGATAGGTACACTGGGTTGGAACAAGACACACTCTATGTTCAGTCAAGAAGCTGCTGGCTGTCCCATGGGATGAGCAACGCTTTCCCTGCCCTCCCTGGAACCTCCCATGGGCTTCCCTCTGGCCTGCCAGGACACAGCCTGCAGGGAAGGGGGGTTAAACTGTGGAGATTTTTCCAGGTGGTGGGGGAGGTGACGGGGAAAGGAGGGGAAGTCACACAGCTACAGCAGTCAGGCCTGTTTAGTAAGAAGAATCACATTTAATGAGTTTCTTTCTTGCAGTTTCAGATGCTCAAGTACAGCTGAAAAAAATCTGAAACAGCTATAGACCATGACAGACTGATACAAAGAGTACTGCATTTTAAAAAAATGATAAAAAAAATCCACACACTCACACACACACATACACACACACTCTCTCTCTCCCCCCCCCCCCCCGCAAATTAGACCCCCCTCCCTCCCCACAAATGTACACTTTTTGGAAACTGAACTGATTTTGAAAACCCCTCTTCCACAGAGATGGGAAGAAGAGAAAGCTGAGGAGAGAGGAAGGAGGACCGCAGGTGCCCAATCCCCGCTCCCTCCACAAGGGTCAGGTGCCAAATGTTCAATGGTCCGGCCCAAGGCAGTCTGGAGAGGAGACTGTCCAGTGCTGCTGCTCTCGCCCCCCAGGGGCCAGCAAGAATCCCAGCTCCATGGTAATACTGAATGCGTGCAGAGTGGCCAATGAACTGTGCTGGTTTAAAAAAAAAAACAAAACGGCACACACAAATCTAAAGACATGGAAAACCGCCCAGACAGCCCAGATCCACTCTGGGTGAGGCCCAGGGCTTGGTGGGAGATGGTGCAGACAAGGGAGGTCTATACAGCAAATGGTTTATATTACAGAAGACTGGCAGTTTAGAGTCTCTTCCCAGTTCAACTGCTGCTCCAGCCCAAAGAGGGCAAACCAAAGGAAAAGAGGAGAGGTGAGACACTGATGGGACATGCAGGGTCAGAAGCAGCAGGCTGGGCACGCTCAAATAAGCCCCCGTCGTTTTTTGTAGTCTTCCAAGTTCAGTGATCTCCTTGGAGCTCCATCCTTGGCAGGTGGAGCCTTGGAGGTGATGGCCAAAGCCTTTGACTCTGAGGAAAGAAGGGTGAATTGGCTGTGAAGTACCTGTAAAGGCCTACTTCACAAAATGGCCGCTGTGGATACTGATGCAGAAACCCCCATTTCTTTCCTGTCAGGCCTCCTTGCCGGCCATCTGGAGCCATCACCACTCCCCAGCCCTCACATACCTGAGCTGGGAACCTGTAAATCAATCTTCACATCAAAATCATGAACTTTGAATAAGTCTTCTGACAGGTCACTGGCCGACTTAGAATTCAAATCTTTATCCTTTCCCTGACCCTGCAATGAGGAAAGGAAAACTAATTATAAAAGCAGAAATGCAAGGAGATTTCAAGAAGCAGCAGCCATTAATGGTCAAAGTTCTCACACTCAAGTTCATTAGAGTTTCCTATTAAGACCCTATTTATTTAAAATAAAAATTTTTTTGGCAGTACTGGGGTTTGAACTCAGGGCCTCATGCTTGCTAGGCAGGCATGCTAGCACTTGAGCCACTCCACCAAGTTCCTCTTTTAAACATTTCTTTTTTAATTATTGCAAATTTACTTTTTAAATTCATTTATTTATTTGTGTGTGGGGGAAACCTAGGGCTTCACCCATGTGCAGCAAGTGCTCTGCTGCAGACCTACACCCCCAGCCTACGATCCTTTTCAGATTCTCTAAGCAGAAGGACAGCCAAAACCATGCATAAAGTACTTTCTTTTCTGAAGCTCTTTTAGGCTTCAAAGTGGGAAGGAGAAGGAAGGCTCATGTTTGCCTTATGTGAATAGAAAGGATAAGTTTAAGATAGCCAGCTACCTTCTAACCCAAGATTTCAGGAATTCCTGAGGCTCCATAGTTAACTGAGGTAGAAAATTGCTTTTAAGTGGGCAGTTTCTCTCAGATTATTTTTATTTTTACTGTTTTTTTTTTTTTCTGGTGGAACTAGGGTTTGAACTCAGGGCTTCCTTCTTGCTAGGCAGGTGCTATACCACGTGAGCCACACCTCCAGTCCATTTTGTTCTGGTTAGTTTGGAGATGAGGGGGTGGTCTCATGAACTATTTGCCCGTGCTGGCCTCAAACCTGGATCCTCCCAATCTCAGCCTCCCAAGTAGTCAGGATTATAGGCGTGAGCCTCAGTGCCTGGCTTGTGTTACTTTTATAAGTAATACCTTTTTGACCAGCTCAGGCCAGCTAAGATACTTGCCCAGGGTCCCAACCAGCAGCCTAGCTCTGCAGCGATAGGTGGTTAGGTACTGTACTTGCCTTGCTCATTTCCTTTGGAGCATCTGGTAACACCCCAGAACCATATTTTGCATTGAGCTGGGCCAAGATGGCAGCTTGAACAGCTGGGTCTCTAGACTGAGAGAAAATAAGTTATTTTAGAAACTTCAACATTCAAACTCCAGCTGCCAGATTCTTTCCCATCTAGTACTACTAACATCACAAGTATCACAGTGGACTCATTAGCAGCTCCGTGGAGTTTTCCTCAGGCAGCAAAAAAGGGCAATTAAAAGTGTCAAAACTAAACCCAGCCCAGCCAGGTCCAAGCTAAGTACCACATTACAGGTTTAGTATCCCTAGTCTAAAACTCCAAAATCCACAATGCTTCAATATCTAAAACACTGTGTGCACCACAGTACTCAGGTACCCCAAGTGGAAATTCCACCTGACCTTATGTGCAGTCAAAATGCAGGCATACTAAAAACATGATAAAAAAATTACCTTCCATGATGTGTACAGTACACATGAAATGAAAATGAATTTCACTGTAGAGTTTGGTCCTATCCCAAGTCATCTCATACAATAGATGTAAATAGTCCAATTTCCAAAAAACCTGAACTCTGAAACACTTCTGGCCCCAAGCATTTTGGATGCAGGCTACTTGCTCAGTACTAAAGTCTTGAACTGTAAGCCCACCCTGGTATACGGGGGTAAGTCCCTGGCCTTCACAAATCCATGCCAGGTTTTCACTACCCATGTGCCCTATGGCTAGATACAAAGGAAGTATCCAGACCCAAGAGCTGGAGGCGAGCAAACCCCAGCTAGAAAAACATTATTTTTAACTTCTTTATTAATTTCCTAATGGAATTCATTTTATGTCCTAGAATCTAGGTCCCAGCTAAAAATGTCCTCTTTAGGCACTCACGTTAGAAACGATGGTAGGTTTGCACTGCCGCCTGGTGAAGGGGTCCATCTGTTGGTTTTTCATGTTATGACTTTCAGCCTGAAACAGAGAGCACAGATGCATTAGGCTTCCTTCCTCTCCTCTCAATTGCCGCAGCTTACATGTAAATAACATCTTTGCAAAGGACTGAGAAAGGTCAAAAGCCATCTATCCTCTTCCCTTCAAGAACACCAGAACAGAAGGCGGGAATTGTAGCTCAGTGGCAGAACATGTGCTGAGCTTCCCAAGGGTTTAATCCCCAGCATGCAAGGCAGATATAGGGGCAGCAGTCAAAAATCAGAAACTGTAAAAGTGAGTGTCAGGGTAAGACAGGGCAGATGACTGCTGCTTTTCATCATAAGTTAATAAATTACATGGGGTATGTGTGTAGCAGACAGCATGTATGCTAAGTGCATATGCATGTTATTTCAATAATTTAAAAGATAAACTGGGTAACATGGAGGAAAGATTTCATGTCATTTCATTACAGATTTTTTCAGCGATCCAGATAAAGTTGTCTTACTCACCACAAGGGCCTTCTCGGACTCCACAATGTTCCACTCCCGGTTCCGCTGGTTGATGTAGCTATGTGGTGAGTAAGAGGGATGAGTCAGTGGGCTGAGAGGAGGGAGGGAGACACAGAGCCCTGACCCCAGAGATCTGTGAAGTCTGTGCAGCACAGTGTGTACAAGGCCACACGCTGGCTTGCTAATTCTGGCAAAGGTCTGGGGACCAAGGACAGGGGCCCAACCAAAACAGGTTCAGTGACACACCTGATGGCAGATATGTTCTTGGTCCGCTGGCGGTCCAGGGCCTCTGCCCGCTCCTCCAGTTCATTCAGCTGGTCTTGAATTTGTTTGGCCTTGTCCTGATCCCCCAGGTCCTCAGCCATGGCCTAGACACAGAGAGATGTGTGAGCTCTTGGCTCTGACTAGCTCTCTATCAAGTAACCCTGTACAGCACAGGCAAAGTTCCTCATGTGATGAATGAATGACAGGAGATGTGAAGGAATAGTGAAAAAGCACTTACAAATACAAGGTATACATTAAAAAAAAAGAAAAAAATTCACAAAACCAAAAATAAGCAAACAAAAGCAAATATAATTTGTACAGTTTTTCTTACAGTAGTAATACCTTCTCATATAGCAACCTGGCTCTGGGCCCCCAGCACATTAACATTAGAACCCAATCCCAAATGGCAAAGTGATCCTAATAAGGCTCACCTCCTCCCAATGTGAGGAATGGAAAAGCACTCACCACAGCGGGGCTTGACAGTATCATTTGTGTGATCAGACCAAATGCTAAATGCCCCTGAGGTCTATTTCACTACACACAAAACTAAAGTGACTGGAAAGTAAAGGGAATAGAACAAACAAGTTTGATTTTAATTTACACAATGGAAAATGGCCAGGGAATGCTGCTTGGGGGTCACAGATACATTGTATTGCTTATAATCGAGCCTAGAATTTTCTCTCAATCCTGTCACCAAACTTGGCAGACGATGGGCAAGGTTGAGTTCTGGTATTTCCTTACTCAGTGCGAGCCCTTACCTTTTCCTTCAGCAGCTGAGTCTTCTTCATAGCATAGTTGGGTGGGGCTTTTCTGAACCTCTCTTTCTCTTTTACAATCTGTACCAGAGAGGAGACACCAGCAGTGAGGCATTCCTAAACTACTGTTTTAGACAGGCTAAGCAAGCCCATTTTGGAGGCAAGTAGCTAGTTAAAAGGGACTGCTCTTCCTAGAGCAGTGTCATGCCCCAGACAGAGCATGCAAGTTCATTCCAAGGGATACTGTGCTGCTTCCCAGGTCACGGAGAATCTTCCGGGAGAGTACGAAGGAGTATGAACCGATACACAGCAGAAGCCCAAGGGCCTGGTATCGTAAGGCTAGCCACTGTCCAAGAGAACAAAGATCAAAGATGTTTACCAAAGTGTTTTGGAGAAAGAAAGCGCTAGGAGGACCAAGCCAAGGAAAACACATGTCCCTGAATCCTGAATACACTTGGGGCTATGGAGTCTCATCTTGTGGACTGTAGGTAATAAGGTGGTGATATTAGCATCCCTCATCTTCCTTCATGCACAGGAAAAGCATCAAGATAAAAGGAAAGAAAGGAAAATCATGATCTTCTCTAAACAATCGTTCTTAATGACCCTCCAGGCTCTGTGTGGGGTAGTCGCTTACCTCTTCAATGTCCTGATCATTGAATTTATAATTGAGAGCTTCTTTAATAGATAACTCCTTTTTATTGATTTCATCTAGAGTGGGCAGCTGCATGCCAGCAGAGAACATCTGGATGAAAGCATGATAAAAAGGTTATCAGTGAAGGATTTAGGAGGAGACTCAATGCTCACAAACAATGGCTGGACAGTCTCTAGCTACTTACCGCTTCTTTCCACTTCATGAATTCACTTTCAGTGAATTCCTGGTTGGAGACAAACTCTAGACGGAACACTCGCTGGTCATTGCCATGCCTACGTGAAAGAAAGATGGTATCTCCAAGAATGTGCATGTTGATGACAAGACAAGTAAAGCGACCCTACCAGACTGTGCACTACCTATCTCTGTGACTCTCAATCCTGGCTACTTTTTGAAATCATCTAAGAAGACTTATAAAGATCAGCTGAGTCAGAGAAAGAACTGGGTACAAAGCAAATGGCTCAGCTGGCTCAATGGGCAGCCAGGATGGAGCTCACAAATGGAAACCAAGTGGATTTGGTCAGGGCTTCAAAAGTCAATTCACAATGAGAACTGCCCCGCCCCCACCCCAGGCGATCAGCATCAGGAATATGTAATGTAATGTCACTAACTGAATAATAAGCAAGCGCTGTTCCCAAGAGAGGAAGAACATGTTGTCTTTCTACTGACCACTGTCTTGGCAAAGTTAAGGTCTCAGTGCCATTCTCTTAGGGACCCTGGCCACTATAGCCCACTTGACTCTTTTTAAAGAAACCAGGGCTGATGATCGGGTGGGGATGTAAGACACCCTGGTGATCAAATCAGCCAGAGGACAGCAGCCAGCAGTCATGTCTATTACATGCTATTTGCTGTGTGATCCTGGTAAACTACTTCTATTTCTTCCTATATGGGGTCTTTAGAATTCTCATGCTGTTTTGCCTGTATCTGTTTTGCTCTCTTCTTTTCCTGATGCCTAGAACAGTGCCTGGCACATAGTGGACATTTAGTGAATATCTGCTGAGTGAATGACCCTCAATTTTACTAAAGTGGAAACTAAGCCCAGAAAGGTGGCCTGACTTGCAAAGATGAAGCTGGTTAAGTGAGACAGCTGGGACCAGAAGCAGCCTCCTGGCATGCTCAGAAGGAAAAGGCTGCTGGGCTGTAGCAGGAGAGTCCCTCAGACCTGATATATATCTTCCTTTCTACTACCTCATAGCCCTCGCTCCCCCATTAGAAAGAGCAAAGACAGAACACAAGCCTCCCTCCGAGGCCCTGTGGAACCCTATGGTGTTCACTGGTACAAGAGACATCACACTGGAGGTGATGACAGTCCCACTGCCAGTGTCTCTTACCGTAGTTGCAAGCCTTTGTTTGTTCTGGTGCCACCCAGCTGGTACACTTTGGCAGTTTCCACAACACCTGTGATCTCAGCCACCTAAGTGAAATGATAGAGACACCAGTAAAAGCAGACTTTCCGAGCTGGCCATACCACTCTTCTTTTGGCTGCATCTCCCCAAAGAGACAAGTGACCCTGTGCTGAGAAAGGCCCACAGCCACCAGATGTTCCGGGACCTGTTTCAGGTTTATTTATTTTTTATTTATTTTCTGGCAGTACTGGGGGTTGAACCCAGGGCCTCATACTTGCTAGGCAGGCACTCTACCCCTTTAGCCACTCTACCTGGCCTTTTCTGTGTTGATTATTTTTAAGACAGTCTCATGAATGAACTATTTGCCCAGGCTGGCTTAGAACCACGATCCTCTGGATCTCTGCCTCCTAAGTAGCTAGAATTACAGGCGTGAGCCACTGGCGTCTGGCTCTGTCTTAGATTTAGAAGTCAGACAGCCAAGCACAGAACGTCTTGTGCCACCGCACCCTGTTCTATGTTCATTTTGTTATTGTTTTTGTTTTTATATCCAGAGACAGGGACTTGCAGTGTTGCCCAGGCTGGCCTCAGACCCTTGATCCTCTTGCCTCACCCTCCCAAGTGCTGGAATTACAGGTGTGAGCCACTGTGCCTGGCTAACCCCTTCTTTTTATAAATGTATTCCCTGAGGTATGTGTTAAAGGAAGGAACACGAACACAGAGTCAAATGGTACCAGACTGTTCGCAGGGAATCATTATATTGAAAACAGAGCATTGTTCAAAGAAAGAAACACCAACCCGGTAAACTGGTTTGCTGTTGTGGTTTCCAATGCCAATCCGTACAAAACATCCTGTGACTGTTTTAGCAAAGAAGGGCATGTGACACCACCGCTCTAACTTGTGCCGTGACAACCGAACCCGATTCAGTTCTTCAGGTAATGAGACAGGCTGGGATTTTGGAGGGACCTCTTCTTTCCTGGGAGAGACACAGGGTGCTCATCAGAAGAACAGAAAACACAGGTGCACAATCCCAAACTCTCATAGTTGCCCATAGTATGTGGGGTGACCTGGAGGCTCCTCAGCAATAGTGGCGACTGTCTTGAATGGGATTCCTTCTCAGAAAGGAAATCTTGGGGAAGCCACAGGCCAGGAGCCAGAGGCAGCAGAAATGATTGTGCTGGGGAACGCAGTTCAGCAATTGTGCATGCTGAACCAAACCACATGCATGGCCCGAACAGAGCAACTGTGGAAACTACTAAGCTTCTCCTCAAAGAGCCACCCAATGTGTCTGCCAGAGCCCACAGGCACAGCTTACTCTTCCTCTTCATCAGATGATGATGTTCGGGATGAGCGGTCTGACTTTTCACTGGACTTGTCGTCCTCCTCCTCCTCCTCATCATCTGAGTACACCTCACTCGTCTTTAATGGCTGTTTTTTGGCGAGGAGCTCAGCTAGAAAGAAAGGGGAATGTTCACCTTAAGTACTCTCAACAAGAAACCAAGTCATCCTTCATCTCTGAAAAGAACTGGAACAAGCAAGAACACTCAAATGGACAGTACGAGCAGTTTGAGAGTGGTCTGTGATAGCGTGGCTCTGGAGTCATTCAGGTGCCAAATACTGGGCCCCCAGAGACCAAAGAGGCTGAGGGTTTAATAAGTGGGCAGAAAGGGTCACCAACATTGTTGACAGCTGTCTTTTATTGTACTCAAGATGTTGAAGCTGGGCACTGGTGGCTCATGTCTATAATACTAGCTACTCAGGAGGCAGAGATCAGGAGGATTGTGGTTCAAAGCTAGTCTCAGGCAAATATCTTGAAAAAGCCCATCACAAAAAAAGGACCGGTGGAATGGCTCAAGGTGTAGTGTAGGCCCTAAGTTCAAACCCTGGGACTTCAAAAAAAAAAGGATGCTTGAAGATGGGTAGGAAAGAAGGGAGAAGGAAATGCATAATTATCACTCTCTTTTCTGGGTTTTTTGAGATGGAGTCTTACAAATAGCTTGAGGTTGGCCTCAAACTCAAAATGCTCCTGCCTCAGGCTCTCGAGTGCTGGGATTACAGCATGTATCACATGGCTGGCCATCACGATTATCTTCAGACAGCTTTTGAGACAAGCTATATTGAATTTGCAGTACCATGTATAATAGCAGAAGAGAGAAAGCAACCTAAATGTCTAAAAATAGAGTGGCTTTTTTACCACCAGTATATCCATTCAATGGACTACTATGCAGCTATATAAAAAAAGATCGAGACAAGAACAATCAAACAAAGGAAAAGGAGCAAGACTTAACTCTACATTCTGAGTTAGGAAGTGTTTCCTTAAAGAGCTACATGGTAAACATTTCAGGTTTGTGGCTCAGTGTCATTGTCATAACTATTCAACTCTCCTGTTGTAGCATAAAAGCAGCACAATATATAAATAAATGTGTGTTGCTATATTTCAATAAAATGTTTCCCTTGGTGCTGGAAATCCAATTCAGGGCCTTGGGCACACTAAGCGTATGATCTACCACTGAGGTAAACCCCCAATCGCCAATGAAATTTATTTAGAAAAACTGATATAGTGTGCCAACAGTTGCTTATATAAAAACTACAAGTACAGCAGGTATACTGTCACACACAAGTAATCCCAGCTATGGGAGGCAGACATAGGATGACTGCAGTTCTAGGCCAGCCTTGGCAAAAAGTTAGTGAGACCCAATCTTAACAAACAAGCCCATGTGGTGTTGCATATCTATAATCTCACCTAGTGGAAAGTATAAGTAGGAGGATTGAGATACAAGGCTGGCCTGGGCAAAAAGTATGAGATCCTATCTCAAATATAAAAAAAAAAAAAAGCCTGGGGGTGTGGCTCAAGTGGTAGAGCATTTGCCTAGCAATCCTAAGGCCTTGAGTCCAAACAAAAAAATAAATTCACAAAAGTCATCTGAAAGGCAGACATAGCCAATGACATAGAATAGAGTCTGAAAATGAACTCTGGCACTTATGCTCAACTGATTTTCAACAAGGTTGCCAAGACTATTCAATAGGAAAATGACACAGTCTTTGACAAAGGATTCTGGGAAAACAAGATATAGCTAAGAAGAAGAAAAAAGAAAGACAGTGTCCTACTTTATATCATATACAAAAGTTAACACAAGTCAGGTGTGGTGGCTCATGAGCTAATCCTAGCTACTTGGAAGGCTGAGATAGGGAGCATTTGGTTCAAGGCCAGCACAGGCAAAACAGTTTGAAAGACCCCATCTCAACAGAAAAAACTGGGTATGGTGGTGTGCACCTATCATTCCAGGAAGGATAAATGGCAGGATCGCAGCCAGGGCTGGCCTGGGCAGAAAGTGAGATCCTGTCTCCAAACTAACCAGAGTAAAAAGGGCTCAAGTGGCAAAGTACTGCTAGCAAGTGCAAGGCCCTGAATTCAAACTTAAGTACTGCCAAAAATAAATAAATCCTAAATTTTTTTTTAAACATACACACACATGTTCACAAGTTCTGAGGCTAGAGAGGTCTTAGTGGTAGAGCACTTGCCTAGCATCTGTGAGGCCCTGAGTTCTAGTTCCAGCACTTACAAAAATAAATGAAACAAGAGTCCTTATTGATAAGAGACGTGTTTGAGACACATACAGTAGAAATATGATGCTGGGATTATTTCAAAACAACCTAACAGAAGAGGAGAGTACAGATTTAACAAAAAATGACGATGAGCTGATTGTGGATGGTGGATAATGGGATCAGAGAAGTTCATTATTGTATTCTCAGCATATGTTTTGAATTTTCTGCTAACAATGCAGGAGAGGGGCATAAAAATGGCACCTGGAAGTCAAATCTTATGATCAAAGGCACAAAGTGACCAGAACATTGCCCAACTTACCTGTTCTGTTCTTCCGTTTTTCCCGCTCAGCTTTCAGCTCCTCCATGGCTTGGGATTTCTTGTCTAGCTTCTCATCCCGTTTGGAACGTCGTTCCTTATTGTGGGATGTTACCTGGGAAGGGAGGAAGGAAGTGTATCTGATGATAAGATTCTTTATATGTAACAGTGAATAAATTCATCCTCCTGCACAAACGTAAACTTGCGTAAGGGAGAGAGCATCCTCTTGTGGACAAGGAGAGTAGAGCAGTAACCCCGCCCAGTCCTCCCTGCCTGATAAAAAGCAGGAGAGAACGCCTTGTTTCCAGAACACTCTGGGTTATGATCTAATATTAGTTGGCATGTCATCATGAATGCAGACATGACTATTTTCCCAGCTATATATATACCAGGGCCAAGATGATGACATACACCTGAGTAAACATCATGACCAATCTGGTTACCTTTTTGCAGTGCTGGGGCTTTGAACTCAGGACCTACACCTTGAGCCACTCCACCAGCCCTTTCTGGTGATGGCTTTTTTTGAGATAGGGTCTCGAGAGCTATTTGCCAGGGCTGGCTTCAAAATGTGATCCTCCTGATCTCTGCCTCATGAGTAGCTAGGATTACAGATATGAGCCATTGGGTGCTTGTACTCTAGTGTAACTTTTAGTGCAGAGGTCCCAGGAGTTAGCCAGTGTAGCCCCTGGTGAGCTGAAGACATGTCCAGAGACTCAGTTAGGCTGACTGAACAGACACATACACACTCTCAAACCCAGGTATACTCTGGAGAACGAGGTCACTGCATCGCCTACCTGAGATTCCTGAATCTGCGTCAGCTTTTTCTTTTCCTGTTCCTCTTCTTGCTTTTTCTTTTTTTCTTTCTTTTCTTTCTTTTTGGCTGTTTTTAGTTTTTTCTTGATTTCAAACCTGGTTAAAAGTTATTTGTTTGGTATTTAAAGAAGCTATAAAATATTTGTAAAGACTAATTTCTAAGGGCTGGTGGAGTGGCATAGTTCAGGTGGTAGAGCGCCTGCTTTGCAAGTGTGAGGCTCTGAGTTCAAACCCCAGTACCACCACCAAAAAAAAAAAAGACTGATTTCTAGCAGATAGATAGGAGAAAGGAATTAAGTCAGGGAAAGTTTAGCTTCCTACAAGAGACTCCAATGTACCTTACAGTACACTAAAAAGACTAGGTGAAAGAACAGCAAAAGCACTTGAGAGCATTAAGTGGGGCTAGACATAAAACACTCAGGATGCTGTTGTACTCATCTAGACTTTTGGTGACACCAGTTCTTCCTTAGGAAGCAAAACTAAACTCCAACAATGCTCCATTAGTGAGAAGGTATCACAAATTTTTTCTTTCTTTTTCCCCCTGGTATTGGGGTTTGAACTCAGGGCCTCACGCAGACACTCTATCACTTGAGCACCCCACCAGCTCTGATCTCACAAATTTCAAGTACATACAGAGAGCAAGGATTTCCCCACCCTTACCCTCCACACTGGGGGTGGAGCTCAGGACCTTGCACAGGCTAGGCAAGAGCTCTATCATTCAGCTAGACCCCTGGCCCAGGATGTATTTTAAAAACACCATGTTCCATCTTTCTTCATTAGGAAAAGTGTTCCTGATCCCAGCCCACATGTGAATAAACAATGTAGTGCAGGCTCCCCTCCTCATAGCAAAAACCAGGCTTTTATGAAACAAATAATTTCTTGTGAACTTAAGGAACTTTAGAGAATAAAAGAATATAATAAACATTAAACATTTTTGTTTTTTGGAAATATTCTGTTATTTTGGCAGCACTGGGATTTGAACTCAGGGTCTAGACCTTGAGACACTCCACCAGCCCCTTTTTGTGATTTTTTTTTTTTTTCCGAGACAGGGTCTCATGAACTATTTTGCCCAGGCTGAGTTCAAACCGCAATCCTCCTGATCTCTGCCTCCTGAGTAGCTAGGATTATGGGCGTGAGCCACCGGTGCCTGGCTAGTCAATACTTTTGTTATGTTCTTTTCACTCATTATTAAGGCTGTTAAGGTACACTTGTAATGTCAGATAGGGGAGCACTGTTATGAATTTGCTCCTTTTAAAAAGAGTTACTAAATTCAAATCCCAGTACCACCAAAAAAAAAAAAAAGTTACTAACTAGCCAGTGGGTGGCACAGTCTGTAATGCCAATGACTTGGGAGGCAGAGAGAGAGGACAGGATGGCAGTTTTAGGCCAACTTGGATAAAAGGCAGAAAGATCTTATCATAAAACAAGCTGAGTAGGAGGCTGGTGGAGTGGCTCAACAGGTGGAGCGTCTGCCTAGCAAGTATGAGGCTCTGAGTTCAAATCCCCGTACCGTCAAAAACAACAAACAAACAAAAGATTCAATGATTAACCAGCACACTCACATAATAAATAACCAATGGGTCAAACAAGGAATCAAAAGAAAAAAAAGTAACCTGAGATGATTGAAAATATACAACACACCAAAACTTACAAGATACAGTTAAATGGTATGTACCCAAATGAGCTGAAAATAGGTACTCAAATGCTTGCATATCAATGCTCATGACAGCAGCATTTGTACTGGCAAAGCAGTGGACACAACCCTAATGCCAGTTAGCAGATGAATGGGTAAATAAATGTGGCATACACAAAGAATGGAGTGTCCTTCAGCTCAGAAAAGGAGTTAAGGACAGATGTGTGCTACATGGATTAACCTCAAAAGCATACTAAGTGAAGCCAGGCACAATGGCATATGCCTGTAGTCCGGGGGTGAGGGGCTGAGGGAGATGGGGGCGGTGTGAGATAGGAGGATCACTTGAGTCCAGGGGTTCCAGGCCAAACTTGCCAACGAAGCAAGACCCTGTCTCCAAAACAAAACAAAACGAACAAATCAAAAAATTCCTAACGAACATAACACATGCCAAGTGAAAGAAGTTGGTCACAAAAGACTATATATTGCATGATTCAATTTATATAAAATTCCAGAATAGGCAAATCTATAGGAGTAAAAAGTAGATTAGTGGTTGCCTAGTGCCAGGAAGCTTGAGGGAAAATAGAGGAATGACTGCCAATGAGTACAAGGTTTCTTTCTAGGGTGACAGATATTTTGGAATTAACTGTGGTGACAACTGCACAGTTCTGTGAATATATGAAAACTACCATGGTGGTGCATGCCTATAATCCTAGCACTCAGGAGGTTGAGGAAAGAGGATGGTGAGTTTGAGGTGAGGCCAGCCTGGGTTACATAAGACCCAGTTTCAAAGACAAAAAACAAAATTAGAAATAAGGGCAAAATAGTTTCTGCTGGGTTATTGAGGGGGGTGGGGGGGAAGAGGGAGGGGTTTTACTATAAATAAATTATGAGGTCCAAATAAAGATTAGATGACATCCAGATTAAGTAAAAGACATGGAGGACATTTTCTGAGTTACTATATTGCATAGCTGAAAAGCTAAACAAATAAGCTACAAAAATACCAACTTTTGGGGCTGGTGGAGTGACTCAAGTGGTATAGTGCCTGCCTAGTAAGCATGAGGCCCTGAGTTCAAGTCCCAGTACTGCAAAAAAATCCAAACAAACCAAAAAACCAACTATGTACGGCTTTGAACTTCTTCTTAATTACCATCACCCTGGACATTCTTCTAGTCACTAAAACATGTCACTCATCTGTCAACTGCCTCACAAGGTGAAAAGTTTTTAAACTGGGCTGGAGATGTAGCTCAGTGGTAGAGCACTTGCCTAGCCTGTATGAGACACTGGGTTTGATCCCCAGCCCTGAAAAAAAAAAAGAAAACAACAAAAAAGGATATAGTGAAGTTTGAGAAAACCACTTATCACTCTCGAACTACTTTGTGATTTTGTGATTCATTAGACAGCCCTATTGGTCAGATGGGATGAGTGCTGCATAGTTCAGAAACACAGATTTTAGAAGTCACCCCTGACCATCTGGCAGCACCAGCACAGCTTCTTAAGTGCTGTTTGTTCAACACAGGTAACCTTAGAAGCACTCACACTCAAAACACATGTCTATTGCTTCCTGCTGACTGAAAGCCAAACATTCTTGTCTAGGATAACTCACCCTGTTTAGTATGTCTCCAGAAGGGACACACAGGCTCCAGAGGAAATGGAACTAATGCAGCCAAAGAAAGGGCCTCACCTTGTCTTTTCATTGACACTAGATAGGAAAGGATCCTATTTCTTTTATTTCCCAAGACAAAAGTCAAGTTTATTTTTACCTTGAAATTCTATTGGGAGATAAGGAAGAAATGTGCCATTTGAAATATGGCAAAAGCTGGGCCTGTAATCCTAGCTACTTGGGAGGCGGAGATCAGGAGGATTGTAGTTTGAGGTAAGCCCGGGCAAATAGTTCATGAGACCCTATCTTCAAAATAACCAGAGCAAAGAGGTATGACTCAAGCAGTAGAGCACCTGCTTTGCAAATGCAAAATCCCATTCCCACCAGAAAAGAGAGAGAAGAGAGAGAGAGAGAGAAATTCAGAAAAATGAAATGATTTCTAATTCTCAAAAAGCAATTTAATATTTCAGCTTCTCTTGTCTTTTTCCAGTGCTGGGGACTAAATCTAGGGCCTTGTGCATGTTAGGTGAGCACTCTGCACTGAGCTACATCCCAGTCCAACATTTTAGCTTTTAAAAACTACAAAAAACATGCTAGAAGGACGCATCCCCAACTTGACCATAATGAGAAATTCCAAGCCTTGAATTTTATGAAGATAAGATTCCAAGTATAAATTCTGGAAAATTATCTTTACTTGTGAGGTTCAGAAATCTAAAGTCACTTTGTAGGACATAAAGCTGTAGAACACCATTTGTTCATTTAATTTCCACACATCACTTGATCTGTTCCCACATTTACTTTCAACAAGTACCAGATTTGAAATCTAAACTCAAGACAATCTCATGACTTCCTCAGTACTTTTTAATTCAGCAGACACCAAATTATGTACTGATGTTTATTTATTTTATTTTTTAGGTGGGACCGGAATTTGAACTCAGGGCTTTGTGCTCAAAAAAGAGGCGCTCTATTGCTTGAGCTGCTCCTCCTGTCCATTTCGCTCTGGTTATTTTGGAGATGGGAGGTGGGTCTCATGAACTACTTGCTCGGGCTGGCCTCGAACCAAAATCCTGTTCTCTGTCTCCCAAGTAGGTAGGATTACACTTGTGAGCCACTGGAGCCCCTAAATGTACTGATCTTTATCAAGACAAAAACAACTTCTGTAATTCCCTCAAGAATACTGCTTATAATGCCCATGCTACAGAACAAGTAATATAACAGGAAGCAGGAGATGGTGTTGCCACAGTGTGTCTTATGGAGTCAGATGATTTGAGACTTGAATTCTAGCTCCACAACTTTCCAACTAAGTAACATTGGACAAATGTCTTTTTTTCACTTAACAAATATTTAGAGCATATCTATGTGCCTACCAGATACTGTTCTAGGCAGAGTCTGCCCTCACAGAGCTTACTCTTCAGTCACTTAATGTCTTGAAGTCAAAGTTTCTAACTCTTACCAGGTAAAATGACCTTCATAGGGCTGCTGTGAAGATTACTAACACACATAAATGTCTTACAATAAAATCTTATGAGTAATGCACATTAGTAAAGCTGATGGCAGAATAAATAATAAATGTGATATTATATTACTTGCTTCTCAATATAACAATCACATTTCCAAATGCCAGTCTCCATAAAACTCCTCAAAACGTTTTCTTTTTTTGGTGGCACTGGGGTTTGAACCCAGGGCTTCACACTTGCTAGGCAGGTGCTCAAAACTGTTTTGTGTTGGGTATTTTTGAAATAGGGTCTCCCAAACTATTTGCTCACTACAAACTGCAATTCTCCTGATCTCTGCCTCCTGTGTAGCTAGGAGTACAGGTGTGAACCACTGGCACCTGGTGCTCATCTCGATAAACCCGTTAGAAATCAAACAGATAAGAAGCTAAAAATGCATTTAATACACCTAGCCTACCAAAGGTCATGGCTTAGACCAGTCTGCCTGAAACTGGTACAGAAACTTAAATTACTGTACATCTAACCATCTAACCCAAAGCTTATTTTATAATAGAGTATGGAATACCCCATGTAATTTATTGAAAAGTGTGCTGAATGTGAAGAACAGATGGCTGTATGGGGTAAAGTTGGGACCATTTGTACAGTCCAGATGTGAAGGAGAGGGGAAGCACTGAGAGGTGGGGAAGCTCCAGACTTACCTTCTCTTCAGCACCTCTCTCTTCTCTATGCGGTTGAACAGCTCTTGTTCTCTCTCCTTCTCTGTCATCTGTTCCAGTCGGGCCCTGTCTTCCTCATCTCCCATGAGATCCTCTCCGTAGCCATCATGGAACTCCTCATCTTCTGAGGAAGAGTCTGAATCTGAACTAGAAGAGGAGCTGTTGCTGTCGGAATCTGACACTTCGCCTGCAATGAAGGCCCAGGTTATGTTCCAGCGGTCCCATGGTGTTTACAATCATCACCCCTTGGCTCTCCCAGAAATTACTAATTTTTTTTTTTTTGGGAGACAGGTCTTACTATGTAGTGCAATCTGCCTTTGAACTCACTATGTAGCCCAGGCTAGCCTCAAACTCATGATCCTCCTACTTCTGCCTCCTGAATGCTGAGATTATAGATGAGCACCACCCCACCCAGCTTTCAACTCAAGCTTTTTTATTTTGAAAAAAATTATAGACCTACAGGAAAGTTACAAGAATAATCTGACTCTATTATATTCTTTACTTAGAGTCAATTATTACTAATACTACCAATGTATTCTCTCCTTCTGTCTACATATGTAAAATAATTGTATGGGTTTTTTTTTGTTGTTGTTGTTTTGCAGTCCTGGAGCTTGAACTCAAGGCTTATACCTTGAGCCACTCCACCAGCCCTATTTTTGTGAAGAGCTTTTTTGAGATTAGGGTCTGGTGAATTATTTGCCCGGAGTGGTTTCAAACTGTGATCCTCCTGATCTCTGCCCTCCTAAGTAGCTAGGATTACGGGTGAGAGCCACTGCACCCGGAAATTGTATACATTTTTATTAGTTATGTTGCCAAATTGAAAGTTGCAGTGACTATGAGTCTTTACTCCTAAATATTTCTCCCAAAGAGACAGTTTCTTATATAACCAACTACATAATTACTAAATTTAGGAAATTTAGCATGATACAATTCCATCATCTCACAAAAAACTCATACTCAAATTTCGCCAATTGCCCTATTTTTGGAGGCACTGGGGTTTGAACTCAGGGCTTCATGCTTGCTAGGGTGATGCCCTTACAGCTCGAGTTGCACCACCAGCCCAATTATCCTAACATTTAATAGTCACTTTTTAGGCACAGGATCCAACCTAAGGTCACGCATAGCATTTGGTTGCCACATCTCTCTAGTGTCTTTTAAGTAGATCACAACTTTTTTTTTAGGGTTTGAACTCAGGGCTTTGCACTTGCTGAGCAAGTGCTCTGCCACCTGAGCATCCAGCAAGGTTAGCCTTTTTAAATAAGATTAAAATTTTTCTTTTTTTGAGATGGAACTCTTGCTGTGTGGGCCTAAACTCTGGGTGCAAGTGGTCCTCCTACTTCAGCCTTGAGTAGCTAGGACCATGGGGATGCACCACCCCCTAACTTGGATCAGCCTTTCTTTATCTTTCATACCAGTGAATTTGTGGAGAAAAAGCCCACAAAATCATTGAATAGAATTTTGTGGGGTGGTGATGAAAATATTCCCCACCTGAATAGTAGCTAGCACGTGGCTGATGGACAACCGAAATGTGGCCAGTGTAACTCAGAAACTGAATTTTCAATATTAGTTTTAGTTAATTTAAGTTTAAAGGGAAGCAGTAATAAAAGGTCTCCCAATGTGGGTGAGTTAGTTTGTTTTGTCAAGAAAAAATTCAGGTTATAAATATTTTGGAAGAAAAGTCCAAAATTGATTGTATCCTTTGAACTGAATCACAGAGGAAGGGAAGCACCTAACGCCTGTTTGTGTTGCACAGGTATGTTCTCCAGATTTCCTGTCTATACAGGCATCTTTCCCCGTTTGTAGTTAGTATATAGAGATAGATGCTTTTAGAGTATAAACATCTAGTTCTGAAGCTGGGCATGGTGCTGCATGACCTGATCCCAGCATTGGGGAGGCTGAGGCAGGAGGATGGAGAGTTGGAAGCCACCTTGGGCTACACAGTGAGACCCTGTGTTTAAAAAAAGAAAAATCAAAGAAAAAAAAAACCCAAAAAAACAGCCAACCAACATCTTGTCCCCTACAAACTGAGTCAATGTGGTTTTTTTTGTTTGTTTGCTTGTTTTTTTGTGGTACTAGCGTTTGACCTCAGGACCTCATGCTTGCTAGGCACTCTATCACTTAAGCCACTCTGCGAGCTTTTGTGTTGGATGTTTTTGAGATAGAGTCTCGAGAACTGTTTGCCCAGGCTGGCTTTGAACCTTGATCCTCCTGGTCTCTGCTTCCTAGCTAGGATTACAGATGTGAGCCACCTGCACCCAGCTTTCACTCAATGTTTTTGATAATCACTATTTTTTTTTTTTTTTGTGGTACTGGGAGTTGAACACAGGGCCCCCACACTTGTTAGACAGGCACTGTTACCAGTTGAGCCACGCCCCCAGCCCTAATCACTGATTCCTGAGTCCATCAACTACCACGATGATGTTGAAAACTGGTGATTTTCTAACCCCATAATTTCTTCTGTATTTATCAGTTGGCATTCAAAAACTGATCAGTGATTTCTTAATGACACAATCTTGAAAGGACAGAGTATAAAAAAGGCAGTATTCATTATTAATGAGCATTAAATTAAATCAGAAATGTAACAAGAATTGTGCTTGACTTGATTTGAGCTAATATTCACAGGCATGGGCTTAAGTCCAGGTTAGGCCAATTTTTTATACTAGTTTGAATGTAAACCTTAGTTTTTCAAGGGAATTTAAAGTTTATCATTCGAGTCCTGGAACAAATTCAGTTGTTAAACTAGTGTTAACAAAAAATTCTGGAGCTGGCTTCACAAAAGACTGTTTTCTTCTCACCAGGCATCAGTGGCTCATGCCTATAATCCTAGCTACTCAGGAGGCAGAGATCAGGAGGATGGAGGTTTGAGGCCAGCTCAGGAAAATTACAAGCCAGGTGCTGGTGGCTCATGTCCATAATCTTAACTACTCAGGAGGTAGAGATCAGAAGGATCACAGTTCGAAGCCAGCCTGGACAAATAGTTCACAAGACCCTATCTCAAAAAACCCTTTAAAAAAATGGGCTGATGGAGTGGCTCAAGGTGTAGGCCCTGAGTTCAAGCCCCAGTACTGCAAAGAAAAAAAAAAAAACAAAAAACAAACAAACAAAAAAACCCAACACTAAACAAGGGCTAGTGGGGTAGCTCAAGTGGTAAAGTGCCTGCCTCATAAGCATGAGGCTCTTAGTTTAAATCCCAGTGCTGCCCTCCCCCCAAAAAAAAAGAGAAGACGACTCTTATCTTGGACTGCAGGTGTGGCTCAAGTGGTAGAGTGACTGCTTTACAAGTCCAAAGCCCTGAGTCCAAAACTCAACCTCACCAAAAAAAAAAAAAATTGTGCTGGAGTTGTGGCTCAAGGGTAGCATGCCTGCTTTGCAAGTATGAAGCCCTGACACCTTCCGGCTCCATCAAACGGAAAAAAAAAAAAAAAACCACTCTTTTCTCCAGTTTTGTATGTGATTCAAGAACTCCCTTCTCATTCAGACCAGACACAGCTAGGAGGAGAGAGAAGGATATGGAAGGAGACCAATAAAGGCGCCCCTTATGGCTCTCACCAACCCTTTGCAATCGCACACATTTTCCCTGCTTCATTCATGTTCTCAATGAGGCTGAGACCACTGAAAAAGCTAAGGACCACTGCTCTAAAGGCACAGGCCATGATGTAGCATGGACCACCTTTCTTCCCAACTCTGTGTCTGCCCAGCCTGACAAGAGGGTGAGTCTCACCTTCCTCGGGGGCTGAGCTCTCAGCTGAACTGTCTTTGTCTGAACTTCCCGAGGAGGCAGTTTTGTTGGCTTGTTTCTTCATGGTTCCTTTCTTCTCTATTTTTCTGGCTTTTCCTTTCTTCTTATTTTTATTGCTCCCAAATGTCCACTACAAGAAGGAAAAAAAAAAAAAAAAGGAAAACTGAAATATGAAACAGGAATGGGGATTTTACTGGGAAAATAGCTGAAAGATTGAAGAGTTAAAGAGACTCCAGCCAGGTCATGCCTGCAATCCCAGCACTAAGGAGGCAGAGGCAAGAAGATTGAGAGTTTGAGGACATCCTGGGCTACACAATAAGACCCTATTTCAACAAACAAAAAACACCCCCCCACTCTCCAAAAAAGATTTAAATCTCTGACTTTAATCAAAATGATTGCAAGACTGCTTTTGAAACCAAAACAGACACATACTTTATATGAAGATAGAGATTTTTGTTAAATCTTGGTTAAAACTTTATAACTTCTGACAGGTGGCAGAAGTCTGTAATACTAGCTACTTGGGAGGCTGAGATCAGTAGAATTAAGGTTCCAGGCCAGTTCAGGCAAAGAGTTCTAGAGACCCCATCTTCCAAAATAACTGGAGTAAAATGGAGCTGAAGGTGTGGCTCAAGTGGTAGAGTGCTTACTCTGTAAGTGTGAAGCACTGAGTTCAAACCCCAGTCCCACCAACAAACAAACAAACAAACAAAAACTTTATGATTTCTGGCTTGAGCCACTCCACCAGCCCTTTTTTGTGATGAGTTTTTACAAGATAGGATCTCTCAAACTATTTGCCCAGGCTGGCTTCGAACTGCAATCCTCCTGGATCTCTGCCTCTTGAGTAGCTAGGATTATAGGAGTGAGTCACTGGCACCTGGTGGAATTTTCTAGTAATAGTAGAAAACTTGTATAATGGGCATAAAACTGACTTTATTTTCTGCCTCCTTGGAGTTACTATCGCTGCTGCCATCCATAATAGGAAGTGGCCCACATCCTTTCGCATCCTGTGCTTTCTATACTTTTCCCTGAAATTTCCAACCCAGTTTCCCTCTCAAATTTTGCCAATTGCCCCTCCCCGCCCCACCTTTTTTTTTGGCAGTACTCAGGTTTGAACTCAGCGCCTCACGCTTGCTAGGTAATCACTTTTACCACTCGAGTCACTCCACCAGCCCTGAAGACCCCATTTCAGTCAATAAAAAAGTTGAGCACTGTGCAGTTACTCAGGAAGTGCATATAAGAGGATCACGATCCACACCAGCCCTGGCAAAAAAACAAGACCTTTTCTCCAAAATAACCAGAGCAGAAAGGGCTAAAGTGGTGGAACACCTGCCCTGCAAGGACAAGGCGAGTTCAACCCCTAGTACAGCCAAAAAAAAGAAAAAAGAACCACAGTTTCTTATTTCACCTTGATAATATAATGAGTATTATTTTATGTATGTCTGTATTTATTTATTCGTGGGTTTTTTGAGGCAGGGTCTCACTATGTAGTCTACAGGGAGCCTTGAAGTAACTTAAAGCTTGTATAATAGATACAACATTTAATTTATAATAAAATTTAAATAATTTTATTGCAACAGAAAAGCAAAGGTATCAACTATATCGAAAGTCAACTGAGGTAACTAAAACCGAGATTAAACAGTTTCTCAGCTGGAGGTGTGGCTCTAGTGGTAGACCACCTGCCTAGCAAGCACAAAGGTCTGAGTTCAAACCCCAGTACTGTCAAAATAAACCACAACAAACAACCACCAGTTTTCTCATGTTTTCTATGGCAGAGACAGCAGCAATTGCTAAAGGCTGGCATGTTGGGCTCAGTGCCGGACTGGAGCTCAGGAAGGTAGGGAAGGAAGCCTGCACCCAGGAGAAAGGCATAGGAAGCACGGGTGAAAGATGAGGCCTGCTTTTCTGCATGGATGGCAGCAGTGGGTACAAACAAAGTAGGTGGAAGTAGGGTAAATCATTAAGTTTATGTGTGTATACTTATTTAAAACCTGGACACGTTACACTACAACAATGTTTAAATTTGACCATAAACAGGAGATCCTAGACTTCTAAACATAAGGAACCTACAATTTGCATCATCAAAGTAACTGGCAAGCAAATATAGTTAACAACTGTAGGGCCCAAACCATCATCTTCAGGCACTTTAATTATCAGGCTGAAAGACGATAGGTATCATCACTTTAACTTGTTGATTTGGAATGATTTTAAGTGAAAAATACTTTTAAAACTTTATTCTATATAAGGAATAAATTTCATCCTTCCAACATCATAGACCATGAAATCTTTTAACAAAAATGTATATAGCTAACATTTAGCAAAAGCACAAAGTCTTTGCTTCTTCTACAATGGGATCATAAATTAACCTCCTACCTCACAATAACTACGATCAGAAATAAACTCAGTGGGTTTTCTTGGTAGGCCACTTGGGGGGAAAAAGAAGAGAGGTTCTGGAAAGGCTTCCATCTTAGAAATTTCCTATAGGACTTATTCTGAAGAACCTCGGTCTCTTACTTAACTTTGATAAAATATTGTGAAAGGGTATTATTTTATTTATTTAGTTTTTTTCTTTTAAGACAAGGTATCCCAGGGGAACCTCAAACTAGCCACCTCCTGCTTCAGTCTCCTGAGTACTGGGATCACAGTAATTTGGTTATTTTAATTGTCACTTTGTTATTGTACTCATGAACTACATAGAAGGAACAGGTAAAAATAAATAAAATAACCACATTATAGAATATTAGGTGAACGAACAGCAACTTCTTGTCATAAGTGAACTCATTCCCCAGACTGCCGTAACACCTACATCATTACCTAGAAATAATTTTCTTTCTTTTTTTTTTTTTTTTTTCTTCTTTGTGGTACTGGGGAATTCAAGGCCTCACGCTTACTAGGCAGGTGCTCTACCACTTGAGCCACTCCAGCAGTCTGTTTCCTGCTGGGTATTTTTGACATAGGGTCTCTCCAACTATTTGCCTGGGCTGGCTTTGAACCTTAGACCTCCTGATCTCTGCCTCCTGAGTAGCTTGGATTACAGGCATGAGCCACCAGTGCCCAGCTTAGAAATAAATCTCATGCTTTCCTTTTAAACTGAGTTTTCTGGCTGGGCACCTGTGGCTCACATATGTAATCCTAGCTACTCAGGAAGCAGAGATCAGGAGCATCAACGTTTGAAGCCAGCCTGGGCAAATAGTCCACAAGACCCTATCTCGGAAAAAAAAAAAAAAAAAAAAATCACCAAAAGGGCTGGAGTGATCAAGGTGTAGGCCCTGAGTTCAAGCCTTACTATTGCAATAAATAAAATAAAATAAATAAAATAAATAAAATAAAAATTTGAAGTGAGTTTCC